CCAAAGCTCAACCCCTGCAAGCACAAATAGGTGAGTACACACACACACACACACACACACACACACACACACACACACACACACACACACACACACACACACACACACACACACACACACACACACGATAACGAGAGATTTATAAACACCAAGAGATAACATTAGAGATACGAGACATGTAGAGATATAGACCAAGATACAGGTCTAACATATATAGCAGAAGCCTATAGATATCACTGGCCTAATATATAATATTCCTGTATTGATATACAGACCAACAGATAAGATTTGATAATGAACAATTATAGATGACGTAATATAGCTCAGAGATAATATAGAAGCGTAAATAAAGATATAAGCGATGAAATAACTAGACAAGTGATAGGATGAACAACTCAGCGGGTTTTCTTCCTATTGGGGAGTGTAATTGTACATGCTGCTATGGCGGTGTGTCCACTCACAGGATGAGTGACGCTGCCCAATACTGTCACTATGGCGGTGTGTCCACTCACAGGATGAGTGGCGCTGCCCAATACTGTCACCATGGCGGTGTGTCCACTCACAGGATGAGTGACGCTGCCCAATACTGTCACTATGGCGGTGTGTCCACTCACAGGATGAGTGACGCTGCCCAATACTGTCACTATGGCGGTGTGTCCACTCACAGGACGAGTGACGCTGCCCAATACTGTCACTATGGCGGTGTGTCCACTCACAGGATGAGTGGCGCTGCCCAATACTGTCACTATGGCGGTGTGTCCACTCACAGGACGAGTGACGCTGCCCAATACTGTCACTATGGCGGTGTGTCCACTCACAGGATGAGTGGCGCTGCCCAATACTGTCACTATGGCGGTGTGTCCACTCACAGGATGAGTGACGCTGCCCAATACTGTCACTATGGCGGTGTGTCCACTCACAGGATGAGTGGCGCTGCCCAATACTGTCATTATAGCGGTGTGTCCACTTACAGGATGAGTGGCGCTGCCCAATACTGTCACTATGGCGGTGTGTCCACTTACAGGATGAGTGACGCAGCCCAATACTGTCACTATGGCGGTGTGTCCACTTACAGGATGAGTGACGCAGCCCAATACTGTCACTATGGCGGTGTGTCCACTCACAGGAGGAGTGACGCTGCCCAATACTGTCACTATGGCGGTGTGTCCACTCACAGGATGAGTGGCGCTGCCCAATACTGTCACTATGGCGGTGTGTCCACTCACCGAATGAGTGACGCTGCCCAATACTGTCACTATGGCGGTGTGTCCACTCACAGGATGAGTGACGTTGCCCAATACTGTCACTATGGCGGTGTGTCCACTCACAGGATGAGTGACGCTGCCCAATACTGTCACTATGGCGGTGTGTCCACTCACAAGATGAGAGACGCTGCCCAATACTGTCACTATGGTGGTGTGTCCACTCACAGGATGAGTGGCGCTGCCCAATACTGTCACTATGGCGGTGTGTCCACTCACAGGATGAGTGACGTTGCCCAATACTGTCACTATGACGGTGTGTCCACTCACAGGATGAGTGGCGCTGCCCAATACTGTCATTATAGCGGTGTGTCCACTCACAAGGCGAGTGGCGCTGCCCAATACTGTCACTATGGCGGTGTGTCCACTCACAGGATGAGTGACGTTGCCCAATACTGTCACTATGGCGGTGTGTCCACTCACAGGATGAGTGGCGCTGCCCAATACTGTCACTATGGCGGTGTGTCCACTCACAGGATGAGTGGCGCTGCCCAATACAGTCACTATGGCGGTGTGTCCACTCACCGGATGAGTGACGCTGCCCAATACTGTCACTATGGCGGTGTGTCCACTCACAGGATGAGTGACTCTGCCCAATACTGTCACTATGGCGGTGTGTCCACTCACAGGATGAGTGACGCTGCCTAATACTGTCACTATGGCGGTGTGTCCACTCACAGGATGAGTGACGCTGCCCAATACTGTCACCATGGCGGTGTGTCCACTCACAGGATGAGTGACGCTGCCCAATACTGTCACCATGGCGGTGTGTCCACTCACAGGATGAGTGACACTGCCCAATACCGTCACTATGGCGGTGTGTCCACTCACAGGATGAGTCACGCTGCCCAATACACTCACTATGGCGGTGTGTCCACTCACAGGATGAGTGGCGCTGCCCAATACTGTCACTATGGCGGTGTGTCCACTCACAGGATAAGTGGCGCTGCCCAATACTGTCACTATGGCGGTGTGTTCGCTCACAGGATGAGTGGCGCTGCCCAATACTGTCACTATGGCGGTGTGTCCACTCACAGGATGAGTGGCGCTGCCCAATACTGTCACTATGGCGGTGTGTCCACTCACAGGATGAGTGACGCTGCCCAATACTGTCACTATGGCGGTGTGTCCACTCACAGGATGAGTGGCGCTGCCCAATACTGTCACTATGGCGGTGTGTCCACTCACAGGATGAGTGGCGCTGCCCAATACTGTCACTATGGCGGTGTGTCCACTCACCGGATGAGTGACGCTGCCCAATACTGTCACTATGGCGGTGTGTCCACTCACAGGATGAGTGACTCTGCCCAATACTGTCACTATGGCGGTGTGTCCACTCACAGGATGAGTGGCGCTGCCCAATACTGTCACTATGGCGGTGTGTCCACTCACAGGATGAGTGACTCTGCCCAATACTGTCACTATGGCGGTGTGTCCACTCACAGGATGAGTGGCGCTGCCCAATACTGTCACTATGGCGGTGTGTCCACTCACAGGATGAGTGACGCTGTCCATGAAACTCACCCTTTGCCCCCCCCCCCCAAAAAAAAAATTGTAGCGAAGGACGTTCACTCTTCTTCTTGATCATCAACTCCCTGACGTCTCACCCCCCCCCCACCTTCCCTTCCCCCCCCTTTAATTGGCCCCTTAACTACCCCCTCCATCCATTACTTCCCCCCCCCGCCCCCCCCCGCCCCCCCCCTTACACATTGCCTGATAACCTATAATTATTCCCGATTACTTGACCCCATACGTGTCCTCCCTTGTTGTTAGGGAGGCAGGTGTGGCAAGGGAGGCAGGCAGAGCAGGTGTGGCAGGGGGAGGCAGGCAGAGCAGGTGTGGCAGGATAGGCACGCAGGGCAGGAGTGGCGGGGGAGGCAGGCAGGACAGGTGTGGCAGGGGAGGCAGACAGGGCAGGTGTGGCGGGGGGAGGCAGGCAGAGCAGGTGTGGCAGGGGAGGCAGGCAGAGCAGGTGTGGCAGGGGAGGCAGGCAGAGCAGGTGTGGCAGAGGAGGCAGGCAGAGCAGGTGTGGCAGGGGGAGGCAGGCAGAGCAGGTGTGGCAGGGGGAGGCAGGGAGAGCATGTGTGGCAGGGGGAGGTAGGCAGAGCAGGTGTGGCAGGGGGAGGCAGGCAGAGCAGGTGTGGCATGGGGAGGTAGGCAGAGCAGGTATGGCAGGGGGGGGGGGCAGGCAGAGCAGGTGTGGCAAGGGAGGCAGGTAGAGCAGGTGTGGCAGGGGGAGGTAGGCAGAGCAGGGGAGAAAGGTAGAGCAGGTGTGGCAGGGGAGGCAGGCAGAGCAGGTGTGGCAGGGGGGCAGGCAGAGCAGGTGTGGCAAGGGAGGCTGGTAGAGCAGGTGTGGCATGGGGAGGTAGGCAGAGCAGGTGTGGCAGGGGAGGCAGGTAGAGCAGGTGTGGCAGGGGAGGCAGGCAGAGCAGGTGTGGCAGGGGAGGCAGGCAGAGCAGGTGTAGCAGGGGAGGTAGGCAGAGCAGTTGTGGCAGGGGAGGCAGGCAGAGCAGGAGTGGCAGGGGAGGCAGGCAGAGCAAGTGTGGCAGGGGGAGGTAGGCAGAGCAGGTGTGGCAGGGGGAGGCAGGCAGAGCAGGTGTGGCAGGGGAGGCAGGCAGAGCAGGTGTGGCAGGGGGAGGTAGGCAGAGCAGGTGTGGCAGGGGGAGGTAGGCAGAGCAGGTGTGGCAGGGGGAGGCAGGCAGAGCAGGTGAGACAGGACAGGCAGGCAGGACAGGTGTGGCAGGGGGAGGCAAGCAGGACAGGTGTGGCAGGGTGGTGGTAGGCAGGACATGTGTGGCAGGGTAGGCAGGTAGGACAGGTGTGGCAGGCCAGGGTGGCAGGCCAGGTGTGGCAGGACGGGTGTGGGAGGCCAGGTGTGGCATGACAGGCAGGCAAGACAGGTGTGGCAGGGCAGGCAGGCAGGCCAGGGTGGCAGGCCAGGTGTGGCAGGACAGGTGTGGCAGGCCAGGTGTGGCAGGCCAGGTGTGGCAGGACAGGTGTGGCAGGCCAGGTGTGGCAGGCCAGGTGTGGCAGGCCAGGTGTGGCAGGCCAGGTGTGGCAGGACAGGTGTGGCAGGCCATGTGTGGCAGGCCAGGTGTGGCAGGACAGGTGTGGCAGGCCAGGTGTGGCAGGCCCCCACAGATAAACATATCAGAGGCTTCTGCCTCTTGCTCGTATCACTCCATAAAAAACATCACAACAATTATATCTAACGAGAAAGATACGAACCCAACCAACCCACCTAACCTCTCGAGGCCGACGCGTAGGAACCACCAATCCTTCAGTGTTTGTATTTGTGATTAAACTTCGTATTTTGAAGAGATTGTGTGGTACAGTGATGTCATTATAGACATTAGTTCATATAACGTCTATAATGCAGACTAAAGATATCATTATAGGTGATGGGGATTCCATTACGAGCTCGGTTATTACCTTATAGACCAGGGGATTGCATTCTACCTTAGGGCGGGATTACATTTCAGGATTGTTAGTTACATTTCAAGTTTGGGTGGATTTACCTATATCAGGTTGTTCAAATGAATCAAAGAAGAAGGCTTTGTAGCACTATTGAAATCTTAATTGTTCGCCTCAACAAATTCGAGCCCGTGGCTTTAAGCAAATGAAAACAAATATTCATGATAAATCCACCAACAAAAATGACTGTTGTTAATCTTGGGAAAATATATATTGAATATAAATCAAAGAGATGGTGCCGTTCTTCCACTCAACTCCACTCACCTGGCCGTCAGCTGTCCTTGTGGGGAAGTTGGTGTTAATGTCTGCTGATGTCAGTAAGCTGTGACGTCTGCAGTAAGCTGTCCCTTACTGAGTGAGCAGCTTCCCTCGGCCACCTGGGATAATCAACTGCCTCCATCGCCACTCGCCACCACTCACCTGGTCCCTCATCACCATCCCCTCCCCCCCCCCCCTACCCCATAACCACCACCCTCTCCTGGGGCTATCGCTGCCACCACCACTACACTCACCTCCATTGTCTGCCCCACCATAACACCCACCACTGTGGTGGTATGTGTTATGGTGGGCCAGACTATGGTGTTATTTTCTCGACCATTACTCCAGTTTGTCCTTAAGTTTCTGTCTATCTTCATCTCTCATGATTGTTCTCATAAATTTTGCATCATGCCGTCTGTCCATTCTTCTCTTTCATGTCTAATGTTTGTTGACTGGTCATAGAATTCTATTAAACCTGTGAGGCACCGAACTCTTGGTGGTGGTGTTACAATCTTCTCTCCAGATGCTCTACGAGCTTTTTCCCTCACGATCTTCTCCGTCACCTTGCATAGTATACAAGATAGGGAAACTGGCCTGTAGTTCAGTGCCTCTTACCTGTCACCCTTTTTGTATATTGGGACCACATTAGCTGTCTTCAAGCTTTCCGGTAGGTTTCCTGTTTCCAGTGACCTGTTATATACCATAGAAAGTGGCACACTTAGTGCTTCTGCACCTTCTTTTATATCCAAGGTGAGATTCTGTCAGGCCCAACAGCCTTTGGCACATTCAGCTCAGATTCTTTTTTTCCTCATCACTGGTGCGGTCAAATTCCTCCAAGGTTGCTTGGTTTACCTTCTCCTCGCTTAGTATGGGGGCTTATCCTTGCTCAGTTGTGAAGACCTCCTGGAATCTCTTGGTGACTTCTTCACACACTTCCTTGCCATTCTCTGTGTATTTGTTCTCTCTCTGTTTCTCAGTTTCATCACTTGTTCCATCACTGCTGTTTTCCTCCTGGTGTGTTTGTGCAGCAGCTTTGGTTAGGTCTTGGCTTTATTCGCAATGTCATTTTCATTCCTTTTCTCTGCTTCTCTCCTCACTCTGAGGTACTCATTTCTGGCCCTCTGGTATCTCTCCCTGCTCTCCGGTGTTCTGTTATTCCTGTAGTTTTTCCACGTTCAACATAATTGCTTTACGTTCTTATATGCCTAATTGAACCATGGATCCTTCTGTTGGTATTAATTTTTCTCCTTTTGGGCCGGGATAAACTTTTCTGCAGCTTCCTGGCACTTCTAAGTGAGAGTCTATCATATCTTGTAGTCGTTTTACTTGAGCTCATTGTCTCAATGTCAGAGTCTTGAAGCCTTTAAGCCATCACTCTAATCCTCTAATCCTAGGCTTTACCTCCTAGAACCAAGGGCCAGATTCACGAAGAAGTTACGCAAACACTTACGAACCTGAACATCTTTTATCAATCTTTGGCGGCTTTGTTTACAATTATTAAACAGTTAATGAGCTCCGAAGCACCAGGAGGCTGTTTATATCAATAACAACAGTTGATTGGCAAGTTTTCGTGCTTGTAAATTATTTAATAAATGTAACCAAAGCCGTCAAAGATTGAGGAAAGATGTTCACGTTCGTAAGTACTTACGTAACTGCTTCGTGAATCTGGCCCTAGTTCTGTATGTGTGGGCACAAAATTTTCCCACATTTTGCGTATTGCGAACAGTATACAGTTTTCAAACATCCGTTTCGTTGTTTTATTAAATTCTGATAATCTTACAGTTATTAATACTTCTGTTTATTTATGCAACGAGTACTGAACGTACACGAGTTTGTTTTTACTCAAACCTTCAAGTTTGTTACTTATGAACATAATTAAAAAAAACTGTATAAGGCTTATTGATATACGAGGCAGTTCCTACGTATATCCGTTTAAACTCATTCATTTATATGTCTAGCATGTATTTGAAACAGTCAAGTGATCCCACATCTTTGACCAGACCACACATTAGAAGGTGAAGGGACGACGAGGTTTCGGTCCGTCCTGGACCATTCTCAAGTCGATTGTGAGAATGGTCCAGGACGGACCGAAACGTCGTCGTCCCTTCACCTTCTAGTGTGTGGTCTGGTCAAACTACTCCAGCCACGTTATCGTGACTCCTCCCCTGCAGATCCCACATCTGTTATGTTCTCTGTAATCTGTTCCACAAATCTCCAACCCTGTTTCCAAGCTAGTATTTTAAGGACATAAGAAGCAAGGAAATTGCAGAAGTAAAGATATAAATCCTATTTATATCCACTCAAACTCATTCATTTATGTCTAATCTACACTTGAAACAATTTAGTGATCCAGAGCTTGAAACAATCCAGAGCCTAGGATAACATAGTTCATCCCCCAAATTAGTTGCGGGATAAACTTTGTCATCATTAGGGGGGCCTCGTAGCCTGGTGGATAGCACGCAGGACTCGTAATTCTGTGGCGCGGGTTCGATTCCCGCACGAGGCAGAAACAAATGGGCAAAGTTTCTTTCACCCTGAATGTCCCTGTTACCTAGCAGTAAATAGGTACCTGGGAGTTAGTCAGCTGTCACGGGCTGCTTCCTGGGGGTGGAAGCCTAGTCGAGGACCGGGCCGCGGGGACACTAAAGCCCCGAAATCATCTCAAGATAACCTCAAGATAAGATCCTACGTTGGACGTGTTCTAGTGAATTTATGTCGATTCTATAATATGGCGCCCAAAACTGAACTGCATGATCTAAATGGGGCCTAGCCAGAGCAAGATATAGCTGAAGAATAACACCAGGTGTTTTATTATTAACGCTTCGAGAAATAAATCCCGGGACCTCTGTTATTTTGTTTCACTGTGAATCTGATACCTTTGGCCTTGCTCGTATTATGGATTTTTGCTCTCGCATTGGTGTTTTGAATGGCATCCAGGAATTTGTTAATGTCCTGTGACATATATGGTGCTAAATAGCCTTCTGGGCTTGGTACTTATTGATAAATGCAGTTACGGAGTTCAGCCCTGTTTCCTCTAAGCCTGCCTATAAGAGTCATAATTCCCCATCTGTAAATAACTAGAAGAAGTTTTGGTTGATTTAGACACTTGAGAGGAAGCATGATATTGTAGTTTATGAGGTGTCAGTGAATAGATCTGTGAATTGATTAGACAGCTGGACATACTGTCATACTGTCAACAGTACTTCATACTGTTGATTAGACAGCGGTCATACTGGCCGGTACAGCGACGATCAGTAGGGAAAAGTAGGACCAGAGAGTTCCCTTCCATTTCTGAGGTGGATGACAGATGGATGATTGACAGGTGAGGTAGATTAATCGCGCGACCCCGGGGGGGGGGGGGGGTGGGATTTCCGGTACCCTTCCCACTCTCGATGTGAGATTTTAGGGGTAACTATTGCATTTTTAGAGACTCTAGCTCTTGGACCCGTCCCTCCATTTTTGAGATGGATAAGAGTGATTAATCGTATAGTAAATGTGTGCAAGTTGTATGTGGTTTTTACCGGTTAACCCGCTCCCTCTTGAAGCAAGATTATATAGAGGGTCCTCCACTCAATCAGTAGAGATGGATGACGGGTGACCGTGACGGATGAGCGTAATCCAGTCGCTCCGGGTGGATGAGGGAAGGTTCACTAAGGCACCTCATCTCTTCCTCTCAAAGCGGGGGCGAGGACTACTTATTATGCACCTCATACCCACTCCTTCACCCTTACGGGCTCACCATAGCCTGTGCTACATGGACACTTCGTCCTGAGTAACTAAATATAAAACAACAACAGTACCTACTCCATGAGAGAGAGAGAGAGAGAGCTCATAGGGAACGGGCTCACCATAGCCCGTGCTACATGGACACTTCGTTCTGAGTAGCTAAACCTGATACAACAACAACAACCACTCCATGGAGGATCATAGTAGTTTAAACAGTTGTATTTTGTATGTAGTAAGCTTCGATAATAACATTACTTTATCATTAAAGAGAGGTGTAAACTTAATTTTCGTTTTCACTAAAGTGGCTCGCCATCACTCTCGGGGGGGGGGGGGAGAGAGAGAGAGAGAGAGAGAGAGAGAGAGAGAGAGAGAGAGAGAGAGAGAGAGAGAGAGAGAGAGAGAGAGAGAGAGAGAGAGAGAGAGAGAGAGAGAGAGAGAGAGAGAGAGGGGGGGGGGGGAGGCTGGCTAATGCAGACCCCCTCCCACGCTCTCCTCCCCCCTTCACATCCAGTCCCCCCCCCCCCAACACCTGTCACGCAGCCTTAACCGATCACTCTATATGCCAAGCGTGATAAGAGTGGTATTTCTTAAATATCTTTGGTTTCTGTTATGAGGTATAAGAGGGACCTGCTTGCATACCTTGAGGTTAGTTACCTTAAGGTGCTTCCGGGGCTTAGCGTCCCCGCGGCCCGGTCGTCAACCAGACCTTTATGTATACTATGCGATTAATCACACTCATCCATCTCAGAAATACAGGGACGGATCCAAGAGCTAGTCTCTAAAAATATAATAGTTACCCCTGAAATCTTACATCGAAAGTGGGAAGTGTACCGGAAATCACTCGCTGGGTTGCGCGATTAATCTACCTCACCCGTCCAACCCGTTCTCGCAAATTCGTAAAGTCAATATTGACTTATTAACTACGTGCATAGGTGATATACTAAACATAATAGATACCCTTAAAAAGATTCATAGAAAACACCGACCTTACCTAACCTTGTTAGTATCTTAAGATAAGCATCTTATTGCTTCGTAATTACAATTATTACTTAACCTATACCTATTATAGGTTAGGTAATAATTGTAATTACGAAGCTATAAGATGCTTATCTTAACATACTAAGTAGGTTAGGTAAGGTCGGTGTTTTCTATGAATCTTTTTAAGGGTATCTATTATGTTAAGTATGTCACCTATGCACATATTTAATAAGTCAATATTGACTTATTAAATTTGCGAGAACGGGTTGCACCCGTCAATCATCCATCTGTCATCGATCTCAGAAATGGAAGGGACCCCTCTAATCCTACATTTCCCTACTGCGATCTGGCTTTTTTTTTGCATGCCGGTGTTCGATCCCTGATGGTCCAAGCGGTTGGGCACTGTTCCTTCCTTAGGTTCATCCCAGATCCTTATCCTCATATCCTTTCCCAGTGCTATATAGTCGTATTGGCTTGGCGCTTTCTCCTGTTGGCTTCATCATGACCTTTAGCTTCATCATTAATATTCACATTATCATGGTGTCAGTTGCTCATTCGAGCCATGAGGCGGAATGTGAGGCTGAAGTACTGCGATTTTCTCAAGGGTATTGTCATAGCACAACCCGTCCTCGACTCAAGTCCATTACATCCAACGGTCGCCCCAACAGACGCATTCATAAATTTTAACTTGCTGTTCATTCAAAACTGAGAATTTTCTCAAATATAAATTAGTATTATAATATATTAGCATATTGTGCATATATAGGCATAGGTTAGGTTAGGTGTTTAGGTTCGGTTGGCGATTATTTGCATTTGTAGTACGTGGGTGAAGCATTTATAGCGTTGTGGTTCGAACAAAACTCGTCAATGAAGCACTTGTTCCGGAAGTGTTCGAACGAAATCAGTTGTGAGTCGTGTGTAAACCGCTTTTCATTCATAAACAGGGGGTTTGGCGGGTGGATGGAATTACTTTTGGATCTTTGTTTGGAGGACGGGCTGCACAGCAAGACAAAACGGTTCTACGAAGCCTCACACAGCTCGAGTCTGGGGCCAGATTCACGAAGCAGTTACCAAAGTAGTTACGAACGTGTACATCTTTCCTCAATCTTTGACGGCTTTGTTTACATTTATTAAACAGTTTACAAACCTGAAAACTTCCCAATCAACTGTTGTTATTGTTATAAACAGTCTCCTGGTGCTTCGGAGCTTATTAACTGTTTAACAATTGTAAACAAAGCCGTCAATGATTGAGGAAAGATGTACACGTTCGTAAGTACTTGCGTAACTGCTTCGTGAATCTGGCCCCTGATTGTTAACGCCCTATATTCCCTTAGGTTTGGATACATTAGCTTAGATCAGGCTGTGTTAGATTCGGGTAGGTGGGTCTGGGTTAGGAAAAGTAAGATTAGGTAGATTTATGAACTGTAGTGGGGTACAGCCCTAAATACGGTGTTAATATTAGAATAGCTAAAATGATGTATTTAGCATATATAAGGTCTCTGATAGACTATCATGCACCAGCTTTGGTCCTGCAAAATGGGAAAAGTATTGATAGACTGGAAAAAATGCAAAATGAAGCACTCAGAATTATACTTGACTGTCCTATAACTACCAAAGTTCTCAACATACGGAAAGAATTAAATATACTTAGCATTAGAGATAGAATATTTGAAATTAATCTTATGATGGGACTAAAGCTGCTGCGTGACAACAAAAACAACATTGTGTCAGTTGAACTGTTAGAACACATACGAAATGGAACCAGCGAGTCTAAATGGATTCAAAGAACAGCCACTCATATTAAAATGATGGGATTGTACGATGTATATACAGATGAAAGAGTACAGCACTTCCTTCCACCCTGGCAGATAGTACCTTTTGACATCCTGACCCCTGCATACCCCACCAAGAAACTAATCACAAACAACCCTCATGCTCAGCTTGCTGCTAAATTAAGCACCATAGAACACATTCACAATATACAAGCTGAAAACAACAGTGCACAGACCATATACACTGACGGATCACTCAGTACAGCTACAGGAAGGCAGGAAGTGCTGTTATTGCTCATCAGCCCGATGGCAGCACAATTCAAAGAAATATCCGAATTAGTAACTGGGCATCCACAATGCAAACACAGTTGGTAGCAATACTGGTAGCACTCGAAATTATTGACAACACTGAAGTAGACAGCTTAATTATTTCCGACTCCCTTTCCTCACTATGAGCGATAAACAGTTTGCAATCAAGTAATAACGTGCTTGTCTTGGAAGCTAGACGTAGATATATGAGAATACTTAGCAAGAGGGTAAATATATAAATGTTGTGGATTCCTTCTCACATTGGCCTGCAGGAACATGACAAAGTTGACGTCCTTGCTAAGGCTGCATTAAAAAAAGACAGTATTGAACGGAATCTTGAGTTATCAAATAGATCCCTTAAAAGTGTCATTAGACGAGAACTCCTGGATGGATTTAAAGAAGGTAGAACTGTGCAAACTGGAACTAGCAGGTCCATTGTTCATCACAATGAAATGTGTGAAGTAAAACATGTGTATGGGGCAAGTAACACAGTCAATAGACTAACAGATGTTGTCACAGCTCGTATAAGACTTGGCTACAAGTATCTCTGGCAGTTGGGCTTGTATAGGGATCTAGATAAAGTAAAGTGTAAAGTGTGTGGACAAAGACAGGGACACACACTCGAACACTATATCTTGGATTGTAGTAAAATTGAGCCATTTAGAGATAAATCTAATCTCACTCTGTATGATATGGCAACCTATCTTATTACATGGATAAATTACCTGAAATCCTTGCACTGTACCCACATTTCGCTTCCAGTAGATGAACGACATATGAGATTCAGAAACAAGTAGTGTATTGTGAGAACTAATAATAAACAGAAGCTCCCCTATGACTCTGTAATATCCCCATTGGTCAAACTATTATGTATTAGCGATAAGACCTACCATTAATGTATGATGACTTACTGTAAATGTATAGCTCTTGAAATAGCACTTTCTCTGTAACTAGCTGACATTGTAACTATAAGGTGTGAAGGATAGATGAAATTGTTTATGTAATAATCTAAGATGAGGTCTGATAAAGATCTTTTGTGCCCTCTGTAATGCTTTTTGCGCTACCGCTCACAGGATGAGTATGGGGTGCACAATAAACTAGCACCCCCCGGCGGCAACAATCAAGGTAGATTTATAAAATAGATTTTCAAAACGTTTTGCGTAGAATGTAACTTGTATTCTCCTCTAAGATTATTATTAACGTACCGGAGAGTCTTCATGCCAGCAATGTTTCCTAGGAAGAGAACCAGGTCACCCTATAGATTCAGGGTGTCTTGACGTTTTGCAGACTGGTAGATCTCCCTTCGTCCAGTCTTGCCTGGCCAGTGGTTTAGACCTCAAGAGACACAATATCAACATGATAAATAAAAGATGGATCATTAAAACTGGTTTCTTAGTTTACTTAACAAATCTAACAAGATCTCTCAGATTTTTTTTATAAAAAATCAATTAAGAAAATAGATATTGCATGTTCCACGTGTTTATGCAGGATGAGTGTTCAGTGTCACATGTGTCACATGTATATGCAGGGTGTGAATGTTCAGTGTCACATGTATACGCAGGGTGTGAGGGTTCAGTGCCACATGTATACGCAGGGTGTGAATGTTCAGTGTCACATGTATACGCAGGGTGTGAGGGTTCAGAGCCACATGTATATGCAGGGTGTGAGGTTTCAGTGTCACATGTATACGCAGGGTGTGAATGTTCAGTGTCACATATATATGCAGGGTGTAAGGTTTCAGTGTCACATGTATACACAGGGTGTGAGGATTCAGAGCCACATGTATACGCAGGGTGTGAGGTTTCAGTGTCACATGTATACGCAGGGTGTGAGGGTTCAGTGTCACATGTATATGCAGGGTGTGAGGGTTCAGTGCCACATGTATACGCAGGGTGTGAGGGTTCAGTGTCACATGTATACACAGGGTGTGAGGGTTCAGAGCCACATGTATACGCAGGGTGTGAGGGGTTCAGTGTCACATGTATACGCAGGGTGTGAGGGTTCAGAGCCACATGTATACGAAGGGTGTGAGGGTTCAGAGCCACATGTATACGCAGGGTGTGAGGGTTCAGAGCCACATGTATACGCAGGGTGTGAGGGTTCAGTGTCACATGTATACGCAGGGTGTGAGGGTTCAGAGCCACATGTATACACAGGGTGTGAGGGTTCAGTGTCACATGTATATGCAGGGTGTGAGGGTTCAGAGCCACATGTATACACAGGGTGTGAGGGTTCAGTGTCACATGTATATGCAGGGTGTGAGGGTTCAGAGCCACATGTATACGCAGGGTGTGAGGGTTCAGAGCCACATGTATACGCAGGGTGTGAGGGTTCAGAGCCACATGTATACACAGGGTGTGAGGGTTCAGTGTCACATGTATATGCAGGGTGTGAGGGTTCAGAGCCACATGAATACGCAGGGTGTGAGGGTTCAGAGCCACATGTATACACAGGGTGTGAGGGTTCAGAGCCACATGTATACGCAGGGTGTGTGTTCAATGCCACATGTATACGCAGAGTGTGAGGGGTCAGTCCATGTGTTGCTGTAGCCACTGCACATGGGCTCCCACCCGGGTGTAGGCTCCAGGCTCCTCAGGCTTTGTACACCCGAAGGCAAAAGACACGAGTCCCACCAAGAAGTACTTCTTTGTTGTGTCTTCGTCGTAGAAGTAAACGGAAGCACCTTTGTCTGACTGCAGGGAGGAGACAAGAATGTTAATTTATTTCACATTTTAAATATTGTAACACATATTTATACATAGTTTACCTAAAATGTGAAGAAGTAAGTAATTATCAAAAGAAGGCACCAAACCGGGAAGCCATTTGATTATTCCGCATCAAATGTGCGGAATAATCAGAGGGTGCTAAATATTACCAAGGATGCCAATACGAGAACAGAAACGCATAAGGCGAACGATATCAAAAGTATCCGAGTCGCCAAGAATTCTATCGAGGGACAAGTGACCGCGAGGGACGGTCGGAAAGCAAGACACACGCTCGTCCTGGAAGTCAGGACATTCAACAAGGATATGAACGACCGTAAGAGGGGCAATGCAATTTGGACAATAAGGAGCAGGGTGGCGCTCCATTAAGTGACCGTGAGTTAATCGTGTATGACCAATACGCAACCTCACCAGAGCCGTTTCCCATTGCCGGTTACGGTGGTAGGAGAAAGGCCATGAGGACACACTACTCTTAAGAGTACACAGTTCGTTACCAGTAACAGAAGACCAACAATCCTGCCAGCGAGTAAGAATGGAGGAATGAATAACTGGGTAAAAGTTGAAATAAGGAATACCTTTACGGGAGACGGGACAAGAGCAGACAGCTTCCCTAGCTGCAGCATCCACATGCTCATTTAAAGAGACACCAATATGGCTGGGAACCCAGCAAAACTCAACCGACTTAAATTTACTGGAAATAAGAAACAGCCAATGTTGAATCTCTACGACCACTGGATGGACCGGATTAAAGGACCCGAGAGCCATGAGGGCACTACGAGAGTCAACAACAACCACAAAGGAAGATTGACGACGAGAAAGCAGGAGACGAAGAGCATAGAGAATAGCATAACATTCTGCTGTGAAGATGCTAGTCTCCGGATGTAGGTGACACATATAAGCGTGGTCAGGAAAAACAACAGAGTAGCCTACACCGTCCGCAGACTTAGACCCATCGGTGAAGGTGGAAACGGAGCGGGAGTGCAAAGAAAAGTGTTCAAGGAAAAGACGTTTCAGAATCATAGGAGGGGTAAAAGCTTTAGTGATGCGGGTCAAGGATGTTCAAAACTTCGGAAGGGGGACGCTCCACAGGGGCAAGGAAGGAACAATACAAGGAGAAATACTTGAAATACGAACTGAAAGAGAATCCTGTAAGCGAGATAAGCAGACAGAAAGAGGGAGGTAATGAAGAGGAACAGGAACTACAGGTGTAAAAGTCAAAGCACGACAGAGGCAACAGGAAGGATGTTGCAAGGACCGTGCAAGATAGCGAAGACAGTAGCGATCACGGCGGTCCTGGAGAGATAGGAAGCCAATGTCAACATACAGGCTGAGGGCAGAAGTCGAACGAAAGGCATAAAAGCTGAGGCGCAACCCAGTATGGTGCAAAGCATCAAGACGGCGAAGGAGAAGCAGACGAGTAAGCAGGGCAACCATAATCGAGTTTAGACAGGACGAGAGAGGAATGTAAAGCGAGGAGCGTGCGCCTATTCGCTCCCCGAGAAGTATGGGATAAAACCTTAAGGAGGGTAAGGGCCTTAGAGCATTCAACTCGGAGGTAAGAGATATGGAGTGACCAAGACAAACGAGTGTCAAAGATTAACCCCAAAAGCTTAGTGAAATCTTTATACTCAAGGGGATAACCATAAAGCGACAAAGAGGGACGAAGAACGAGATGCTTCCGAGTAAAAGTTATAGCACAAGTCTTAGACGTAGAGAACCTGAAGCCATGATCGGTGGCCCAAGAAGACATGGCATCAGTCGCAAGTTGAAGCCGTCGTTGAAGGAGAGGCGAATCATCAGCCCGACAGCAAAGGGTAAGATCGTCGACATAGAGAGCGGAGAAGCACATTGCTGTGTGCTTCATAGAGAAGTATTGCTGTAAAGAGGCAGAGAGAGTGGCATCAAGCCTCACTAATAAGAAACGACGAGAGAGGAAGCTTTGGAGAAAGAGTGGGAGATTACCATGAAGGCCAAAAGAATGAAGTGGGGACAGAATATGATATCGCCAGGTGGTATCACAAGCCTTTTCTAGGTCAAAAGGACGGCAACAACGGACGTTTTTGCAGCAAAAGCAGTACAAATATAGACCTCCAAGTTCACCAGGACATCTGCTGTGTTGCGGTACTTGCGAAAACCAATTTGAGAAGGGAAGAGGTGGTGATAGTATTCTAAGAACCACTTCAGACGAACGTTAATCATACGTTCAAAGAGTTGGCAGACAACTCGTGAGGGCAATAGGGCGGAAGTCCTTAGGGTATGTCGCCAGAGACCTTGGTTTTCGAACAGGGAGGACAACGGCATCGAGCCAGTCCTCAGGGACTGACGATGACTCCCAGACCCGATTATACAGACTCAGTAAATATTGATACGTGCAAGGAGGGAGATGGCGAAGCATCTTATAATGAATGCCATCGGAGCCTGCCGCCGTAGAACCGCAGAGGACCAGGGCAAACTGAAGCTCAGAGAGAGAGAGAAGAGATCGTTATAGGGAAGTCTGAGATGGGTGCAGAAATCTAGAGGACGAGATTCAAGAACAGATTTACAAAGAAGGAAAGATTGAGGAAGATGAGAACCAGAAACCAGAGCTAACAGAAGAAAAGTGGGAACCCAGTTCGGTCACGACCTGCAACGGGTCCGCCACAAGAGTACCACGGAGGTGAAGGACTGGCGAGACATCGGGAAAGAACTTATCCGCTATCTTGCGGATACACTTCCAGATCTGCAGTAGAGGAGTTTCGGATGTAATGGTAGAGACATAAGACGCCCAACATTCACGCTTAGCCGCACGGATGGCCCTACGGGCCACCGCACTCGCCTTCCAAAACAAAAGAAAAGAATCAGTCGTCTGCCAGCGGCGGTGTCTCTTCCAGGTTGCACGCTTACAACGGACAGCCTGAGCACAGTCCACATTCCACCAGTGAACGCACTTCCGTGGTCCCCGAGAGGAAGAGCGAGGAATAGAGAGGAGGGCAGCGTCGAAAATGGTGTCACGAAAAAGGAGGAGGGCGCGAGGGAGAGGTAGAATGGAGAGGTTGGAGAGAGCAGCACGGAGGGTAAATAGAGTTCAGTCTGCCTTGGCAAACTGCCACCTAGGGAAGGAGAGGGAAAGGTGAAAGGAGAAAAAGGTAACAAGGATGGGGAAATGGTCACTGCCGTGGAGGTCATCGAGAACCCACCACGTGAAATCCAAGTAAAGAGACGACGAGCAGAGAGAAAGATCAAGACAGGAAAGGGTGCGAGTTCGTGAGTCCAAATGAGTGGGCTTACCAGAATTCAGAAGAGACAGGGAAGAAGAGAGGATGAACGGTTCGAGAAGGCGACTCCGGGTGTTTGTCAGAACATGACCCCAGAGGGTATGTCAACAATTGAAATCACCCAGCAGGAGCACAGGCTCTGGCAAGGAGTCCAGTAGGTGTTTAAGATCAGGAAAAGAAAGCGGGACATTTGAGGGGAGATAAATGGAACAAACCGTGTACCATTTACGCAGAAAGACACGTACAGCAGGACATTGTAGAGGCGACGGAAAAAGTAGGGGGACGAAGGGAACATCAGAACGAATCAAGACAGCAGAAGAGGAATGGGCCCCAGCAAAAGCTGGGAGAGGGGGAGAGAAAGGAATAGCCACGGAAGCGACCAGGACGAGCACTAAGCATCGGCTCCTGGAAACAGACACAAAGGGGCGAAAACTGTGAAATCAGAAATTGGAGTTCATAGAAATTGGCGTAATATCCACGAATATTCCATTGAAGAATAGGCATCAACACGAAGAGGAAGGACAGCAACAGAGAACAATGAAGAAACAAAGGTGGAAAAGGAACAAAGCACATTATAGAAGCGCAGGATCAGGAAAGTCCGGGTTAGGGGGCATGGGTAAACCCAGTTACTTGTGTGAACCCGGCCTCCCTGGATGGAGAGAAACGACATCCCTGCTCATCAGAGGAGTGGATTGGGAGTTGAATTTGTGAATTCTTAAAGAATCTTCTTAATAACATGCAAATAAAAATATATTACACATACAACTGCAGTAGAGAAAATTAAATTCTGAATTAATGAAGAATGTGTTTGGATATGATGAACAATATGTTCAGACTTAATGAATAATGTGATCAGACCTAACGATGAATATGTTTGGACTTTATGAAGTATATATACCTTTATTGGTGATAATATCCCGTTCAAACTGGATATAAGTGACATCTTACTCAAGACGGCTCGCCAACGGATCTTAAGACCTACCCCCATCTTACTCAACCTAACCAACGCAAACTAACCTAATCCAACCGAGCCTAACAAAACCTTCTACATCCCGATCTAACAATATATATATATATATATATATATATATATTTTGGTAGCAGTCTTTCCTGTAGACATATTTTATTAAATATGACCGAAAAAGTAAGATTAATAATTCTAACACGAATTTTCTCAATCTTTCGTACATTATGCTTCACTGTTGGAGGTAAATCAAAAATCACTTCTCCAAAATTCATTTTTATTTCTAGTCTGACGCGACACGGGCGCGTTTCGTAAAACTTATTACATTTTCAAAGACTTCACAAATACACAACTGATTAGAACTTGCATTTCCCTGATTTTATATCTACTTTTGAGTGAGGTGGGAAGGGTGATGTGGCATTACATTTGAGTGAGGTGGGAAGGATGATGTGGCATTAGAGGATATTAATAGGGTATTAAAAGTATCAACACAAGACAGAACACGAAACAATGGATATTGAATAGAAGTGTTTGTAGAAAGCCTATTGGTCCATATTTCTTGATGCTTCTATATTGGAGCGGAGTCTTGAGGTGGGTAGAATATAGTTGTGCAATAATTGGCTGTTGATTGCTGGTGTTGACTTCTTGATGTGTAGTGCCTCGCAAACGTCAAGCCGCCTGCTATCGCTGTATCTATCGATGATTTCTGTGTTGTTTACTAGGATTTCTCTGGCGATGGTTTGGTTATGGGAAGAGATTATATGTTCCTTAATGGAGCCCTGTTGTTTATGCATCGTTAAACGCCTAGAAAGAGATGTTGTTGTCTTGCCTATATACTGGGTTTTTTGGAGCTTACAGTCCCCAAGTGGGCATTTGAAGGCATAGACGACGTTAGTCTCTTTTAAAGCGTTCTGTTTCGTGTCTGGAGAGTTTCTCAAGAGTAGGCTGGCCGTTTTTCTGGTTTTATAGTAAATCGTCAGTTGTATCCTCTGATTTTTGTCTGCAGGGATAAGAGCCTCGTTGGACGTAGAATCGCTGTTTACCAACGTACCTGTGGACGAGACAATCGGAATGATAGCCGACAGAGTGTATCGTGATCCAGGCTGTACTCCTCTTGACATGCCAGAAAGTATTCTGAGGAAACTACTCCAAGCTTGTACTAAAGAGGCACCCTTCTTGAGCCCGGATGGGCATATGTATAAGCAAGTAGATGGGGTCGCTATGGGTTCTCCCCTAGGTGTCCTGTTTGCAAACTTCTACATGGGTACCATCGAGCAAAAAGTCTTAGTCGACATGAACTTGAAACCGGCCATATACTGCAGGTATGTTGACGACATTTTTACACAGGTACCTGATGTCAGACATCTGCAGGAGCTGAAGGAGGCATTTGAGCAGAGTTCCGTGCTGCGTTTCACTTACGAGACGGAAAAGGATGGGAAGCTGCCTTTTCTAGATGTAACAGTCATGGAAAAGGGCGGAGGTTTCCACACTGCAGTCTACACAAAGGAAACAAACATAGGAATGTGCCTAAATGCCAACAGCGACTGCCCTGACAGGTACAAGAGGAGTGTTGTTAACGCATACGTCGACCGTGCTCTCAGCCACAGCTCAGAATGGAAGCAAGTCGACGAAGAACTCTGTAGGGTAAGGCAGGTTCTAGTCAATAACGGCTTCTCCAATGGTTTCATCGAAGACATCATAAGAAGGAAAGTGAAAAGCCATGCAACCTCTGAAGAGACAACTAACACAACACCTATACCCCCTATTAGACTATTTTACAGGAACTTCTTTTCCACAGCTCATAAAACAGAGGAAAGGGTCCTGAAAGATATTGTTAATAGAAACGTTATCCCTACAGACAAAAATCAGAGGATACAACTGACGATTTACTATAAAACCAGAAAAACGGCCAGCCTACTCATGAGAAACTCTCCAGACACGAAACAGAACGCTTTAAAAGAGACTAACGTCGTCTATGCCTTCAAATGCCCACTTGGGGACTGTAAGCTCCAAAAAACCCAGTATATAGGCAAGACAACAACATCTCTTTCTAGGCGTTTAACGATGCATAAACAACAGGGCTCCATTAAGGAACATATAATCTCTTCCCATAACCAAACCATCGCCAGAGAAATCCTAGTAAACAACACAGAAATCATCGATAGATACAGCGATAGCAGGCGGCTTGACGTTTGCGAGGCACTACACATCAAGAAGTCAACACCAGCAATCAACAGCCAATTATTGCACAACTATATTCTACCCACCTCAAGACTCCGCTCCAATATAGAAGCATCAAGAAATATGGACCAATAGGCTTTCTACAAACACTTCTATTCAATATCCATTGTTTCGTGTTCTGTCTTGTGTTGATACTTTTAATACCCTATTAATATCCTCTAATGCCACATCATCCTTCCCACCTCACTCAAATGTAATGCCACATCACCCTTCCCACCTCACTCAAAAGTAGATATAAAATCAGGGAAATGCAAGTTCTAATCAGTTGTGTATTTGTGAAGTCTTTGAAAATGTAATAAGTTTTACGAAACGCGCCCGTGTCGCGTCAGACTAGAAATAAAAATGAATTTTGGAGAAGTGATTTTTGATTTACCTCCAACAGTGAAGCATAATGTACGAAAGATTGAGAAAATTCGTGTTAGAATTATTAATCTTACTTTTTCGGTCATATTTAATAAAATATATATATATATATATATATATATATATATATATATATATATATATATATATATATATATATATATTCAACAAACAGAAAACGAGCTTTGTCGAATGGTTTTGTGTAACAATGTGACCATACCAGTTCAAAATGTGCCTTGGCCAAATTCACGAAGCAGTTACGCAAGTACTTACGAACGTATACATCTTTCCTCAATCTTTGACGCCTTTGGTTACATTTATTAAACAGTTTACAAGCATGAAAACGTGCCAATCAACTGTTGTTATTGTTATAAACAACCTCCTGGTGCTTCGGAGTTCATTAACTGTTTAATAATTGTAAACAAAGCCGCCAAAGATTGAGAAAAGATGTATACGTTCGTAAGTGCTTGCATAACTGCTTCATGAATCTGCCCCCCTGATTGACTTGCCCGAAACGGTATATATATGCGTGTTAGTGACTTTAGCAAGAATGTAAGAACACCGATATTATTATTATGTCCTCTCACATGTACCTTCTTCGTATTAAAGAAAGAAAACAAGAATCTCAAGACAGAAAGACAACACCCACCATACAGTCTCTTGCTGACGTTCCAGAGGCGCACATCTTACTATGATCAAACACCCCAGTCTTGTACGCTCCGAAGGTCCTCCGGCATTTGTCCAGTCCAGTGATCGCCACATTCACGTTCTTCTGACTCAACTGCTGGACTCTGTTCTCTGTTTGGAACACCATAAATCAGATATATTAAAGCACTGAAAGTTTTCTACAATCAGAAGGTAAATCAGATGTATGAAAGCACTGTATGTTTTCTACAATCAGAAAAAAATCAGATATATAAATCAGATTGGAGGGTCCTGTTAGTACAGTCGGGTTAATTCTCGACGCACAATCGTGAATTCCAGATTCGAATCCCGGGCAGGATAGAAATGGTTGGGTAGATTTTCTTTCACCTAATTCATCTGTTCACCTATCAGTAAGTAGGTACTTAGGAGTTAGTCAGCTTGTTGTGGGGTTGCCTCCTGGGCGGGGTCGATAAATCGACCCTGGAAGGGGGGGAGGGGAGGGGGAGGAGAGATTTCGATATAAGCCTAACGTGTATTAATACACTCTGGCTTCCTGTCCCCAGACATAATGAATTATACAAAAAAAAAATATTATATTAAAGCACTGTACGTTCTCTTCTGTCAGAAGAAACTCCTAACCTAACCTTGAGATTTCATTGTATGGAAACACTCTATGTTCTCTAGTCAGAAGATAAATGAAATGTATTAAAGCAACAGTACTGTAACTTCACTATAAGTTACACTGTAACAGTACTGTAAGTTTCTGTTCAGGACTAAGAGCCCTTTACACTCAGTACAGAGAATCATGGCATCATATTTAAAGATCAGTACACATATATATTTATAAAGTCTTAAGATACAATTATGTTAAATAATAATAGTATTCAGTATACTGTATATTAACACTATCATTTTACAGATCACATCCTAGTTAACACCTGTTCTAGATTTAGTCCTAGCTAACACCTGTTCTACATTTAGTCCTAGCAGACAAACAAATGGTCTCGACTTCTCGAGGGAGATTATTTTGGATAAAATAAAGGTGGATAACGAAGGGATGCAAACGCACAGTGGTAATAAACGTGTGGAAACTGAAAATAAAGCGAGTCATGAACAGAGACGGACTGGGAGGGTCAAGCCACGCTGTGTTCGGACTTTGTTTACAGTGTCCGATTTCAATAATGACGTGCGTCGATGTTTTCAGCGCCGAAGATGGCGACTGTGGTGCAGCACAGCGATGCTCAAGCTCTGTAGACCATCTCGTTGTCTTTCTCAGAACCCTTACTGCAAGCTATTGTAAGCTATTTTGTGTAATTTGTATTCCGCCATTAACAGCAAATCATTTAGATATCCAAATTCATATTGGAATTGTAGTCTGAGTACATCTTAAGTTCGATTCTATGGTCGTTTGAAAGGTTTTAATGCGTTCTTTCCGGATTGAATTTATAGTACGGAGCTATAAGTTAGGATTGGTTAAGGTAGTCCTATGTGTGGATAGGTTTAGTTGGGTTAGGTTTAGATAGGTTAGGTTTAGGTAGGTTTGATTAGCTGAAATGTACGGAGTGTCTTAACCTATCCCTGGAACAATGTAAAGGAATTTTTCTAGATGTTAAAATGCAGATCTTTAGGTACAGCTTTGACCTCATTAAAAATCTAGGAAGGGAAATCGAAGATGGAAGCCGTTCTTTGATAAACATATATGTTCCTTGGTTTGTACATTATTTGCACAGAAACTAGCAGGAAATCACATCAAATATAACTGTGAGTAAAGTAATAATTACCTCCTGTAGTGACGATAGGTCCCATGCCAACTAAGTCAAGATTCTGGTACCGGAAGCCATCGAACTCAAACCTGAATGGTAGGCATACTGGCTGGACGAGTTCTGGGGAAATAATAATAATAATAATAATAATAATAATAATAATAATAATAATATAATAATAATAATAATAATAATAATAATAATAATAATAATAATAATTTGTATTTGCAAGAAGGTACAATTTGAGACACGCTTCAGCTCAAGTCACATTTTCAGGAAAAAGCTATGCTTGTATGACCATATATCCCAGCAGGGATATGAGGACAGGGAGTAGGGATATAAGGACTTTTAGTTGGGGGTATGAGCAAGGGCTGCAGGAATGGTACCTATTCAATTGGGTTATCGGGGTTCGAACGGCAAGGTTTAAGATGTGGCCTCTTCAACCCAAGATTCACAAGAGCGTGTCTGTGGCAGTTCAGCATACGAGTAATGTACGGGGTTGGAACTCACGAAGAGTTAATAGGGTGGCGCGTTCGAACTCACAAGTAGTGGATATTGTGACTGCTTAGCTTATGAACTCACCGTGAAATACAATACCTAATGAAGCCACTGTGAAATACAATACCTTATGAATTCACCGTGAAATAAAATTCCTCATGAACCCACCGTGAAATACAATACCTAATGAGTTCACCGTGAAATGCAATACCTTATGAATCCACCGAGAAATACAATTTCTTAAGAACCCACTGTGAAATACAATACCTAATGAACTCACCATGAAATACAGTACCTTATGAACCCCCTGTGAAATACAATACCTTATGAATCCACCGTGAAATACAATTCTTATGAACCCACTGTAAAATACAATACCTTATGAACCCTCTGGACAATACAATACCTTATGTACTCACTGTGAAATACAATATCTTATGAAGCCATTGTGAAATACCTTATGAACCCATAAATTACAATAACTTATGAACTCACCATGAAATACAGTAACTTATGAATCTTCTGTTAAATACAATAATTTATACACCACTTAAATACAATAGATCATGACGCCACTAAAGTACCATAGCTTATTAACCCACTGTTAACTACAATAGCTTATGACAATAATGTTAAAAAAGAATAGCTCATAAATCCACTGTCAAATACAATGACTTATGAACCCACTGGCAAATACAATAGCTCATGACGCTACTGTGAACTACAATAGCCTTTAAGCCCCCCCATCTCCCATCAACACCATATGTCAGGGATACACAGACGTATCTTGTCAGACAAAACAAAGGGGAAGGAAGGGGAAGGTGGGAAGCGGGAAGGAAGGAAGGGGGAGGGCGGGTCTGAACACCTTGGGTTCCTCACCATTGAAGATCACGACCTCTGACAGAGTGACGATGGCAATATCGTTCTGAGAGGTGATGTTGTTGTAGCCGGCGTCCACGTGGTTGACGATGGCCAGGTCCCTGGCTCTGTGAGAACTCCCCAGGCGAACGTGCGTCCTGATGAAGAGAGATTAAGAGAAACCTTTACATGCGTGTTGGGACGAGGGGAGGGAAGGGAATTATAAAGGGGAAAGCGCCAATGTTATTGTTGTTGTTTAAGATTCGCTACTTGGAACAAAAAGTTCCAAGTCGCATGGGCTATGAAGAGCCCCTAGTGGATTTAAACCAGCAAACACAAAACGTTTGTGGACGTTTTTGAATGGTGCCACAAAGGTAATACTGTAACGTTTGACATAAATACGTATTTCTGACGCCCTTAAAACCAATAGATATAAATAAAAAAATTGTAATTAGCACAGGAGAGGGGCTGTAACTTGTAGAAAAGCATCAAGCCATTACGACTATATATAGCACTGGGAAGGGATTAAGGTAAGGGTTTGGGATGGGACGGGGGGAAAGGAATGGTGCACTACCACTTGGGACGGTTGGAGATTGAACGCCGACCTGCATGAAGCAAGACCGTCGCTCTACCGTCCAGCCCAAAGGGGGAGTAGGGCGAGAACATCAGGGGAGGAATACTGGCAGGTAGAGTGCCATGTAATGAACCAGTTTGTTGAGAGAAAACACAGGTTGGCTGAAGGCGTGTAAGAAGCAAGTGTAGATGTACACAGGTTGTACTAAGAGTGAGGGGAGTGTAGATGTACTGAGTGAGGGGAGTGTAGATGTACTGAGAGTGAGGGGAGTGTAGATGTACTGAGAGTGAGGGGAGTTGTCTGAAATCCGACACATAACATACTAATATACTAACATAGTAACCATCATTAAGATGATGTTAATTTACCTTCGTTAGTCATAAAAGAATTACAGAGAACGTTATCTGTGACGTCACGTCACAACAAACATTTAATACCACAAGTATTCCTTTAAACTACCCGTCTAGACATTAGAATTAATAAAAAAAAGTATTCTTTATGATTGGATCTAATATAATTATCAATAAAACAAAAGCCTACCTCCCAATTGTCAATTTAAAGACAAAATTAGAACCAAAATTTTGGGACGCCGTGAAGAGGGAGGCTAGCGCCAAACACTAATTGTAGACCCCTGGTTCAACCTTGACGACGAGCGGACGTCTGGACACCTCCTCTGCCTGGGGACCACCTGTGCACGTTCTGTTTTCGCGTTTTGGCTTTGCTACTGCCGTTTGGCATCCCTATTCAACGGTCCGGGTTGTACGACGCCTGGCTCACGGGATTGTTGATAGATTTTATTTTTTGACGTGTTCTGGTTGGTTCTCCCGGCGGGGTGACGGTGTCCGGGGGCTGGCTTGGCCGAGAGGTGCAGGGGGTTGGTGGGTCTTGGTGGGCTCCTGGTGTGCCCTCAGTAGTGGTGGGCGGCCGGCTTTTGCTCTGCCGGAGGACACTGGATGACTTTTTGCGTTTTAGTTGGGGGCCGAGTTTTGGTTTTGCTACCTGGTGTTCTCTGTGTGGGGCGGGGCCGGTGCTTGTCCCCCTGTGGGACACCTGGGGCTCTCCAATCATCTGCACGTTTGCGTTTTTTCGCCACATGGCGTATTAGTTTTACGTGATTGGCGTCACTTGCTTCGCGATTAAGCTTGGCGTTTCACCTTTCCAGGCTTTGCGATTAACCCATCACGGGTACGCCGGGGCGCATCCGATCCCACGATCGTCGTCGCCCCTAAATCAACAACAACAACAAAGAGCTTCTTGCAAGGTTTAGCAAAACGTGGCACTACATAGATCTATTAAAGGTCGCCCAACAGTGTTCCAGCCCCAGCGACCTTATCCTCAATATCAGGAAGTGCTGAGTATCCGTCTACACCAAATATCTGTTATAAGTTTTGGCCATTAACTATTTTAAGATAGGATAGGCGGTTAAACAGCGGGTTATAATAAAGAGACTAGACTTACCAACAAAAGTAAGTCTAGTCTCATTATTATAACAACACAAATTTCATGTGTCACACCTGTACTTTATATGTTATTGTCAGTTTTTACCATGTAACTTGTTGGCAGGAAAATTGTGATTCATGAGACATCCCTGAAAACTGTTCCACCTGCAAGATACTGTACAGACGCCTCACATGCTCTGACTTCTCCAACAGCTGCCATTAACAGGGCCAGATGCCATTAACAGGGCCAGATGCCATTAACAGGGCCAGCCGCCATTAACAGGACCTGCCACCATTAACAGGGCCAGCCACCATTAACAGGGCCAGCCACCATTAACAGGGCCAGCCACCATTAACAGGACCAGCCACCATTAACAGGACCTGACGGTCCATATGTGACAAAACACAGTCTGATGTACAGGAGGACCAGCTCTCACCCAACTAACACAGCTAAGACCCAGACAATATTTAAACTAACATAATTATAACCTTTACTAACATAAACTGTACAGTAGAAATTTATAGTTTATTTACAACTACCAATTGTGGTATAAGCTATGTACATTCCCCCTCCCCCCCTACTTAAGACCAGGTAAACACATAGCAGGATACACAGTCCACTTTGAAGTAATAATTCAATATTAGAGAAAGTTAAATAAACTAGAATTATATAATTAAATTAAAAAGCACATTACTGCCTGCTGGAAAAATATTCCACAGGAGTGTAGGTATACTCAGGATGTACTGAGAGTGAGGGGAATGTAGATGTAGTGCGGACGAGGTATACTCAGGATGTACTGAGAGTGAGGGGAATGTAGATGTACTGAGAGTGAAATGAGTGTAGATGTAGTGAGGACGAGGTATACTCACGGTGTAGCGAGCCTGGTGTCGACCAGACAGTGAGCAGCAGCCAAGACGTGTCTGCTGGTGATGAGAGCCCCGCTACATATGGGATCAAAATGCTCACCTTGAAGTCTGCCTAAAGTTACAAGCCAAGGCCAGTACCCAGGCTGGGGGAGGAAGAGCTGCTTTACTCACTTTATATTTAAAGACGATTAAATATCATTTGAGTTGATTATTCATACTTATGTATTAAGCTGACTAACATCTTGTTGGTGTTGACGGCTCTGATGTTCAGACTAGTCCAACCAGACTTGGTCAAGACTAGAACTGAGCCTTCTCGCACAGCTCTCCACCTTGTTCCATGATTGTGGTGAATGATGGAGGGAAGGGAGTCGAGGAGACGGGGTGCATACTCAAGACGGGAGAGAACATGTGCTGCATGTAAGGTTTTACAACCCCCAGCTGGCAATAAGGTATGACATGTATGAGTGTCGTGGCTGCCTTACCAGCTCGGGTGATCATGGGGCTTCTCGTCATTAAAAGAGTCAAACTAAGCACTACGTTTTTGCTATCCATTTGTATGTCAGTCCAATTTAAATTACCATGCTGTCTTGTTATCATCATCGCCAGTGTTTTCTCAGATGGAAATATAACCTGCTATCAACTTTTCCTGGAAGATACTGATGAAAGTTGTGATTAATGACCTCACAGCAATTAGTATGTCTTCGTTTCCATATGTAAGGATTAGAGTACAATAATCAGCAGGGGATTTGAGCTTTAGGAATGGGTGCAACAGATCACTGATGTAGACATTCCACAACAAAGGGCCAAGCACACACTAACATGTGGAATGTGGCATCAGTTCAATGGCTGACAGAGTCAGCCCCCATTGAGGACTACTCTTAAAGTCCGTTGGAGCCGTAAGTAATTGTCAAAAGAAGGCAACAAGCCGGGGAGACTATGAAGCAACATAAATGGAGCCAAAAATTTCTAGTGCTTGAAGATTTGCTAGTAATCCAGAGTGCCATGCGCGATTAAAGGAAATGTGCAACGTCCACAGCCACAACACAGTTGATCTTGGACTCATCCAGCAACTACTTAGTGGAAAGATTTACCGAGAGATCAGCAGCAGAACAACCTTTTCTAAAACCATATTGTCGTCCACAGTAGCCGATGATGGTCAAAGAATTATAACATTTGCTGAGAAATAACTCTTTCAGTAATTTTGCCAGTAATGAAAAGCAGTGACACTGGACTGTAGCTACCGACTACTGAACTGCTTTTCTTTGTGTACTGGAATTAAATCTGCCTTCGAGCACAGGGAGAGCTAAATTCCTCGAGATTGAACTTGAGGAACGTTGAAAGAAGTAAGTAAGTAAGTAATTATCAAAAGAAGGCACCAAACCGGGAAGGCTATGTAGCACCATCAAATACGCAAAATAATCAGAGGGCGCTAAATATCACCAAGGATGCCAATACGAGAACAAAAACGCATAAGGCGAACGATATCAAAAGTATCCGAGTCACCAAGAATTCTATCGAGGGACAGGTGACCGCGAGGGGCGGTCGGAAAGCAAGACATACGCTCGTCCTGGAAGTCAGGACAGTCAAGAAGGACATGCACGACCGTAAGAGGGACAATGCAACTAGGACAATAAGGAGCAGGGCGGCGCTCCATCAAGTGACCATGGGTTAAGCGAGTATGGCCAATACGCAACCTCGCCAGAGCTGTTTCCCACCGCCGGTTACGGTGGAAGGAGGACTGCCACGAGGAAACACAACATTTAAGAGTACGTAGCTTGTTACCAGTAACAGACAACCAAGAAGCCTGCCAACGGGTAAGGACTGAGGAATGGATAACCGGGTAAAAGTCGGAATACGGAATGCCCTTACGAGAGATGGGACAAGAGCGGACAGCTTCCTTGGCGGCAGCATCCGCACGCTCATTTAAAGACACACCAATATGGCTGGGAACCCAACAAAACTCAACCGACTTAAATTTACTATGAACGAGAAACAGCCAATGCTGGATCTCGACAACCACTGGATGAACTGGATTAAAGGACCCGAGAGCCATGAGGGCACTACGAGAGTCAACAACAACTACAAAGGAAGACTGACAACGAGAAAGTAGGAGACGAAGAGCATAGAGAATAGCATAAAGTTCCGCTGTAAAGATGCTAGTCTCCGGAGGCAAGCGACACATATAAGTGCGATCAGGAAAAACAACAGAGTAGCCAACACCGTCCGCTGACTTAGACCCATCGGTGAAGACAGAAACGGAGCGGGAGTGAGAAGAAAAGTGCTCGAGGAAAAGGCGTTTTAGAACCGTAGGAGGGGTAAAAGCTTTAGTGATACGGGTCAAGGAAGTACAAAACCGCGGAAGAGGGACCCTCCACGGGGGCAAAGAAGGAACAACACGAGGAGAAACATCAGAAATACGAACGGAAAGAGAATCCTGCAGGCGAGATAACCGGACAGAAAGAGGGAGGTGGTGAAGAGGAACAGGAACCGCAGGAGGGGTAAAAGTTAAAGCACGACAGAGGCGAGAGGAAGGATGTTGCAAGGACCGCGCAAGATAGCGAAGACAGTAGCGATCACGGCGGTCCTGGAGAGACAGGAAGCCAGTGTCAACATACAAGCTAAGGACGGGAGTCGAACGAAAGGCACCAGAACTGAGGCGCAACCCAGTATGGTGCAAAGCATCAAGACGGCGAAGAGTAGAAGGAGAAGCAGACGAGTAAGCAGGGCAACCATAATCGAGCTTAGACAGGACGAGAGAAGAATGTAAAGCAAGGAGAGTGCGCCTATCTGCCCCCCAAGAAGTATGGGACAAGACCCGAAGGAGGGTAAGGGCCTTAGAGCACTCAACACGGAGGTAAGAGATATGGGGAGACCAAGACAAACGAGTGTCAAGGAATAACCCCAAAAGCTTCGCGGAATCTTTGTATTCAAGGGGATGACCATAAAGAGACAAAGAGGGACGAAGAACAACCCGTTTCCGCGTAAATGTCATGGCACAAGTCTTAGAAGTAGAGAACTTGAAGCCATGATCAGTTGCCCAAGACGACACGGCATCAATTGCAAGTTGAAGCCGGCGTTGAAGGAGAGGCGAATCATCACCCTGACAACAAAGGGTAAGATCATCGACATAGAGAGCGGAGAAGACACCAGAAGGAAGAGAGGAAAGAAGACCACTGAGGGCAACCAGAAAAAGAGTAGTGCTCAGAACACTACCCTGGGGCACACCTTCGTATTGCTGAAAAGAGGGAGAGAGAGCGGTACCAAGGCGCACCCGAAAGGAACGACGAGAGAGGAAGCTGCGGAGAAAGAGAGGGAGATGACCACGAAGGCCAAAAGAATGAAGTTGAGATAGGATATGATAACGCCAAGTGGTGTCGTAAGCCTTTTCCAGGTCAAAAAGGACGGCAACAATGGAGGTCTTCGCAGCAAAAGCAGTACGAATATAGACCTCCAAGTTCACCAGGACATCTGTCGTGCTGCGGCACTTGCGGAAACCAAATTGAGAAGGGGAGAGGAGGTGATGGTGTTCCAGGAACCACATCAGACGAACGTTAACCATACGTTCAAAAAGTTTGCAGACACAACTTGTGAGAGCAATAGGGCGAAAGTCCTTAGGGGAAGTACCCAGAGACCCCGGTTTGCGAACAGGGAGGACAACGGCATCGAGCCAGTCCTCAGGGACTGATGACGACTCCCAGATCCGATTATACATACTCAGTAAATACTGAGACGTGCTCGGAGGGAGATGGCGAAGCATCTCATAATGAATACCATCGGAGCCCGCCGCCGTAGAACCGCAGAGGGCCAGAGCAGAACGAAGTTCAGAGAGAGAGAAGGGATCATTATAGGGAAGCTGAAGATGAGTGCAGAAATCTAAAGGACGAGACTCAAGGACAGGTTTACGAAGAAGGAAAGATTGGGGAAGATGAAGACCAGAGCTAACAGAAGAAAAGTGGGAACCCAGTTCGGAAGCGACCTGCAACGGGTCCGCCACAAGAGTATCATGGAGGTGAAGGACCGGTGAAACATCGGGAACGAACTTACCCGCTATCTTGCGGATACGCTTCCAGATCTGGGCCAGAGGGGTTTCGGACGTAATTGTTGAGACATAAGATGCCCAACATTCACGTTTAGCCGTACGGATGGCCCTACGGGCCACCGCACTCGCTTTCCGAAAGAAAAGAAAAGAATCGGTCGTCTGCCTACGGCAGTGCCTCTTCCAGGCTGCACGCTTACAGCGGACAGCCCGAGCACAGTCCGCATTCCACCAGGGAACGCACTTCCGTGGACCCCGAGAGGAAGAGCGAGGAATAGAGCGGAGGGCAGCGTTGAAGACAGTGTCATGAAAAAGGAGGAGAGCGCGAGAGAGAGGCAGAAGGGAGAGGTCAGAGAGAGCAGCACTGAGGGTAAATAGGGTCCAGTCTGCCTTAGCAAACTGCCACCTAGGGAAAGAGAGGGAAGGGCGAAAAGAGAAAAAGGAAACAAGGATGGGGAAATGATCACTTCCATGGAGGTCATCAAGAACCTGCCACGTGAAATCTAAGTAAAGAGAAGAAGAGCAGAGAGAAAGATCAAGACAAGAAAGGGTGCGAGTCCGAGAGTCCAAATGAGTGGGCTCACCAGAATTCAGAAGAGACAGGGAAGAAGATAGGAGAAACGGCTCAAGGAGGCGACCCCGGGTATTCGTCAGAACGTCACCCCAAAGAGAATGACGACAATTGAAGTCACCCAGCAGGAGCACAGGCTCCGGCAAGGAGTCTAGGAGGTGTTTCAAATCAGGAAGAGAGAGCGGGACACTCGGGGGGAGATAAATGGAACAAACTGTGTACCATTTCCCCACAAAGATACGAGCAGCAGAACAATGGAGAGGCGAAGGAAAAAGTAAAGGAACAAAGGGAACATCTGCACGAATCAAGAGAGCAGAAGAATTAGAAGCCCCAGCAATGGCTGGGGGGGGGAGAGAAAGGAATAGCCACGAAAACGACCAGGACGAGCACCAAGCATTGGCTCCTGGAGACAGACACAAAGGGGCGAAAACCGCGAAATCAGAAGTTGGAGTTCGAGGAAATTGGCGTAATAACCTCGAACGTTCCATTGAAGAATGGACAACGACGGGAAGAGAAAGGACAAAAACAGAGAACAAGGAAGAAACAAAGGCGAAAGAGCAACAGAGCACGTTAAAGAATATCAGGGTCGGGATCAGGGTCAGCAAAGTCAGGGTTAGGGGGCATGGGTAAACTGAGCAAAGACGGAGGGAAGGAAACGGGAGAACAGATCAGAGGTGGGCGGGCGGGGTCCGGAGGAAGAGGAGGAGACAACGGAGAGGAGCAGTCAAGGACAGCAGTAGGAAGAGGGGGAGTAGGAAGAGGGGGAGTAGAAAGAGGGGAGCGCACCCCAGCAAGAGCAGCAACCGAAAGGGAAGCAGGGGCCAAAGAAACCTCCATAGCAGGAACAGGGGGCGCAACTACTGAAACGGGAGGGGAAGGAGCAACAGAGCCAGAAGTAGGAGCTAAGGAAGAAAGCGAAGCCTTCTTACCCGCCGGGAAAGAGGAAGGAGAGGAGCCAGGCTTACGCTTCTGACTTAAAGAGACAGGTGTCCCAGCAACTACGTACCGGGCAACGGATTCCAGTGTCTCAACAGGAGAAGCCGAACGAGAGCACACACGACGGCCGTTAGGAGAGCGATGGACATCCGCCTGCACCGACAGGCGGCGGGGAGAGCCGATAGATGGAGGAAGAGGATGGGAAGGAGGATCGGAGGGGGACGAGGAAGAAGACACAGGAGACATGACAGACCGGGTTGAAAGAAGGGGAACCCCAGACAGAGGACCAGGAGGGGGACCCCTCGGGAAAGAACTCAAAGGAACAGAGGAGGGGGCAGTGGGCGTATCAGGGTCCAAGGCCCGGAAACGGTTGAGAGTCTGAGGAAGGGGGGAAGGACGAGGAGAGGAAGAGCGCAACACGTGAGCATAAGAGATGTTAGTATAAGGCGGGAGCCGGCGAACCTGGCGCCTCGCCTCAGGAAAAGACAAACGCTCCCGGTGCTTCAGGTTAAGGACGGCCGCCTCAAGCTTGTAATGGACACAGGCACGGGAGAACGTAGGATGGGCCTCACCGCAGTTGAGGCAGCGAGCTTGGGGAGAAGTGCACTCCGACTTAGAGTGACCTTCACTCCCACACAAAGGACAGAGAGAGACAGTCCCAGAGCAGCGGAGGGCACCATGCCCAAACCTCCAGCACTTATTACAAAGTCGAGGAGAAGGAATATACTCCTGGACAGAGCACCGAGCACCAGCAAGAATGACAGAGGATGGAAGGGTCCTACCATCAAAGGTGATCTTCACAACGCGAAGGGGTTGACGGCGACGACCACGAGGGGGACGAGTAAACGAGTCAACCTGGAGGACAGAATGGCCTTGGGCATCAAGGATATGCCGAATATCATCGTGGCAATCCTGCAGATTCCGAACACCGGTTGCAACATGGGGTGGGAGGAGAATAGTGCCAACACTGGAATTCATCTGAACGTTCTTGGAGACCCGAACAGGGATCTCGCCAAGGCAAGATAAGGCAGCCAAGCGGGAAGCCGCATCCTGAGAAGGAGCAGCAACGACACGTGTACCGAGACGAGTGGGGTTGAAAGTAACACACGCATCCACGGAATCTACAAGATGCCGATGGAGGGAGAAATCGTCAGGAGGCGCAGAATCAAGAGGGAGGAGATCAAAGTATTGGGCCCATGAAGCAGGACCAAACAAGGCCTGATACGCATCAGCACGGGAAGGAATCGAGCGAGTGCGGTTGGGGCGCGAACGGCGTTGAGAACCCCTAGAGAGAGAGGGGTCAAAAGGCGCAGTAGTCACAACGAAAGACTTAGCCACACCAGGGGACGAAGTGGTCACCACCGGGGGCTGGAGGCTCGACCCAACCTCAGAGGAGGGAGGGGAGCTGGGGGAAGAAGTCAGGACGGTCAAAGGAGGAGCAAGGTCGGGGCCCAACGCAGCGGGAGCTACAGAGCCTGGTCTTCCAATACAGGCCGACTCGGGGGCTTGGTCGCCCACCCCACGAGCCTGAGAGGGTACAACGGAAACATTCAACGACATAGAGACGAAAAGTGACAAATTCATCCACGAATGTGCCCCATACCCACCATGGAGCCACAATTAGAGGCAGGACACCCAACAGGAAGCTATCGCTGATCATGCCGGGGCCCCCTAGGGGTGCGTCGTGAGTATACGCCCCACAAACGCCACCTTAAGAACCGTCAGTCCGTCGAGATCGGGTTCAGCGACGAAAGGGGGATTGACAATAAAAGGTTCCCCTCGCTCGAGACGTCGGGTACTACAGTTCTACGGGTGCAAGAGTATGCCTCCTCAAGCACCCGGGCGTCAAAATAGAAGAAGTCCAAAGAAATAATCCAAAACAAGCAAAAGGTCGGCAGGAAACGACAAGCAGATAGGAGAAGAGGGGGGAGAAAAACGAAACATAAGGAAAAGGAAAAGCGATCCGGCACAATTGGAGAAGACAGCAGCAGGAGTGCAAGGCCAGAAAAGGACAGAGGACTGCCCAACGGAGCATCACACTCCGGCAGCCGTCCACCAAGCCCCCTCACGACGCCAACGGGCCGGAAGGGGAGGGGGAACATTGAAAGAAGCGAGTGAGAGGTAGAGCCACCAGGTCCACACAACAATATAGTCTTGGGACTGACATTATCCCGCCCCACTGGTTTGCCTATGTCTAGTGATTTCAGGAGATGGTGAAACACGAACGCACCACGAAACGAAACATGAGTCCATTTTGTGGTGTGGTGACCAGCGTTGAAGCTCTCATCTTGGCCTCATGCGAGTGGAAATTCAAGTCTCAGCCACGGCGCTTAGAAGTTTCAAGAGCATTATTATATATTATATATATATATATATATATATACGTACGTACCTTCTAGTAGATTGAGCCTGTCTGTCTCTTTCCCTCCTACCCTTACTTTTTCTTTCTTTCTTTCTCTCTCTCTCTCTCTTAGTGCACTGATTTAATTTTTAAGTTTGATAAAATTGCTACACCTCTTAAAGCATTGCTTCATGTTTTCTTGAGTGCTTTTAAAGCCTTTTTAAGTACTCTTTTAAAATATATTACAGCTTGGATGTGGATGAAATATTTTAACTATACTAAGACCACATCTTTGCTAAGATGATGGCAAAGAAATAGCTGGACAAATGTATATTTGTTTTGACTTACATTCCTTGTTAGGGAAGTGTTGGGCCTTGTTCCACACTCGGCCTCTGGAGGAATGACGAAGGAGATCTCGGGAAGAACCGTTGGGTCAGGCGTATTCAGCGCGCCAGGTTCCCTATCGCCCGTCGGGCCTTGGACGCCCAGAACCCCTTCAGTTCCTCCTCCAGGGCGGAGAACTGGCCGCGTAGTTAGTGACGGAGAGAAAGAAGATTGTACGGATCGATCTGGGAAGTTACTGGATGGTTGGGTTGGTTGGGGATTGAATCCGGATTGAGTTGGCTGGAAAGGTAGTCTAGATGGTTGTCCAAGTGGTCTGTGTTCCGTAGAAGGGGCTCTCCCGCCTGTCACGCCGCTATGACCGGAAGAGGGCGGCGGGAAAGATGGCTGTCGCAGCCCCACATTGGTGACCGTTGGCGGGCGAGTGGGCGCCAGTGGGCAGCAAAGGAGAACATTTTCGCTTGTCATTCTGAAAAGTATGAAGGAGTGACATTTCTCGCAATGTTGTGGAACATTAACGCGTGTATAACAAATATATTATAATACTGTGACACATATGTACACAATGAAGTATGATTGTATAAATACTATTAATAATAATAATAATATTTTATTTAGGAAAACTACATACATAGATGCAGAGTTATAAACATACTGTTGGATTTAAGATAGAGCTAGTACATACAATACCTAAAGCCACTAATACGCATAGCGTTTCGGGCAAGGTGTGGAGGAAAAACACTTAAACTAAAACTCAATAATAATTGGGAGTAAAGTATAAATTGTGTTGAAAAAAAAAAAATAAACAAAAGAAAAAAGGGGGGAACGTGGCAAAAATCAACAATTATACAAGTTGGTCAACAAACAGCATTGTTAAGAATAGCAAGACATGGGTTGACATTTAGGGGATAAGGTAGGTTACATGGAATTAATTAGGTAGTACTTAGTTCTACTCTTAAACTGGTTGAGAGAGGCACAGTCTTTGACATGATTAGAGAGGTCATTCCACATTCTGGGTCCCTTGATTTGTAGAGCATTTCTAGTTTGGTTAAGTCACACTCTTGGAATATCAAATAGACATTTGTTTCTGGCGAGGTGCTCATGGGTTCTGTTACAACCTTCTATGAAACTTTTAAGGTCAGGATTGACATTGCAGTTCAGAGTTTTAAATAAATAGAGTACACATGAGAGGATGTGCAGTGACTTAATATCTAACATATTCAAAGATTTGAGTAAGGGTACCGAGTGCTGTCTGGGGCCAGTGTTAGATATTGTTCTAATAGCAGCTTTGTGTCGAGTAATTAGAGGACGTAAATGATTTTGTATAATAGAACCCCAAGCACAAATACCATAGTTGAGGTAAGGATAGATGAGAGAGTAATAGAGCGTCACCAGGGCAGGGCGAGGTACATAATATCTGATCTTAGAAAGAATGCTAACAGTTTTAGAAACTTTTTTTGATATATTTAGAATGTGTCCCTGGAAATTCAACTTGTTATCGATGAGAACACAAAGGAATTTGCCCTCTACTCTATTACTAATTTGGATATTGTTTATTCTTAGATTAATTTGATTTGAGGATTTATTACCAAATAAAATATAGAAAGTTTTGTCAATGTTAAGCGTGAGTTTGTTAGCAGTTAGCCAAAGATGGACTTTATGTAGTTCAGTATTCACTGTGACATTTAGAGCAAGAGGGGTCAGGACTGGAGAAAATGAAGGTTGTGTCATCAGCAAATAGAATTGGTTTGAGGTGTTGACAGGCTTGTGCAAGGTCATTAATGCATATGAGAAAGAAGAGAGGGCCAAGCATGCTACCCTGGGGAACACCAGTGTTGATGGGTAGGGTGGGAGAAATGAAATTATTCACAGAAACATACTGGAGCCTGTCAGTAAGGTAAGACTGAACATATTGGAGAGAGTGACCTCTGACTCCATAATGATGTAATTTAAGAAGAAGGTTTTGGTGGTTGACAGTGTCAAAAGCCTTACGCAGGTCCACAAATAACCCAACAGGGAAGTTATTTTTATCAAGAGCTACATATATCAATTTAATCATACTAATCAGTGCATCGTTAGTGCTTTTTTGGGCTCTGAAGCCATTTTGGCAAAAGCTAAGTATATTGTGTTTGTCTTGATAAGAGTAAAGCTGCTTGTAGATTAATTTTTCAAATATTTTTGACAAATTTGGCAGAATTGATATAGGTCTGAAGTTGTTGACATCAGTGAGATAACCACATTTATGGACTAGGGTTACTCTCGCTTTTTTTTAGAATATCTGGAAAGGTTTGGAGTTGAAGTGACTTGTTGTAGAGCACTGCAATGGCAGGAGCAAAAGATCTGGAGGCTTTTTTGTAAATTAGAGTTGGTATCTCAGCAAGGGCACTTGACTTTGTTTTAAGGGAAAGAATTATCTCATTAACATCAATGGAGTTAGCAGGCATTAGGTACAGAGACTCTGGAGAGTTACCTGTAAGGTAGTCCTTGACATTCATACAGGAGGATGGAATATCATTAGCAATGGATGACCCAATAGATGAGAAGAACCTATTGAATTCAATAGCAGTATCAGAGGCTGATAGCAAACCGTCATTGTTGAATAGTATTGTTTTTTATTTAGAATCTTTTTTGATCCCAATATTTGTGAAATAGTGCTCCATGTTTTCTTAATGTTGCCTTTAATTTGGGTGAATTTATTTTCGTAGTATTTTGTTTTTTCTCTCCTAATTATTTTTGACAGCATTGATGAGTAAATCTTTGAAAATTCTTCGGAGACGGTTCCTAACCTATACTTCTTCTCGAGGTCATGTTTTTTATTAATAGATAATATTCCCTAATAATAATAGATAATTTAATAGATAATATTATTATTAATAGATAATAATATATAATATTAATAGATAATAGATAATAATAAATAGTATTCCCTTTGTAAGCCATGGATTGTTTAACCTTTTAGTTGTGACTTGTTTAGTTAGCATAGGACAGTGCGTGTTATAAAGGCTGAGAGTTTTCTGAAGAAATGTTTGCACTGCTAGGTTGATGTCCCCTATGTTACCTAATTCGGTCTCCCAGTTGATATTAGCAGCAGCAGCAGCTATAAAATTGCCGATAGAAGTTTCATTGTGCAGCCTAAAGCTTATCTTCCTTGTATCTAGAGGTGGTTTGTTAATGTTGGTTAGGAGAAACGTGGGGTAATGGTCAGTGGTTCTATCAATGATTATCCCGAAGTAAGAGTAGAGGTTGTCAAGAGCCGTGGCAGTACTATCAGTGATTCTAGCATGTCTAGTGATTAAGGGTATGAGGAAGCAGGAATTTATACAGTTGAGGAAACTAGCAGCATGAGGGTCATCAGGCTCGTACAGGTCAATATTAAAGTCCCCAGAAATTATTAAGTGGTTTTTGTTCAGTTCTCTAGTATTAGATTTCTAAGGTTAGAGTTAAATTCAGACACATTAGTGTTAGGAATTCTGTAGACTGCTCCCACAGTCAGGACAGCCTCGCCACCATTGACTGAAGCAGGCAAAGATATACTCTCCACGGGGGTCTCTAGTTTTAATTTCTTTTAAGCATGTCAGATCTTGGTGGAGGTATAGAGCAGTACCACCACTTTCTGAATAGGTTGACAGTTGTGAATTGCTGAGTAGTTTGGTATGTTGTAGAGTTGTGTAGTATCATCTTTAAACCACGTTTCAGTAAGCATAATAAGAGAATTTGTTTTCAACTGTTTGAATCAGGGCACTAATATCATCAAAGTGTTTGCTTAGAGATCTTACATTAAAGTTAATTACAGGAACATTGTTATTGTGTGTTAAAACATTGTTTACGTCATGTGCTGTATAATACATGCAATTTTGATCATTAAAGTGATGATTGTCATAGATACTAGATAAGAGGTTTAGTTCTGGGTCTATACTAGTTTGCATAAAAGGGCTGTTTGATGGAAAAAGACAAAAAAGACAATTATAAAAAAAACTAGATACAAGAGAACAAAGAAAAAATATACAAGATTATACAAAAAATGAGGTAGAGTGCTGTATGATACTTTCAGGTACAGAGATAAAAAAGATCACTGAAATGAGACAGTAATACCAAATAACAATTGATAATTCTAAAAAAAAAAAACAATAGTTTACTTTAATAATATAATTACACTATAGTTACTTACTAAATTTACACTAAAACAAAAATGCTTAAATTACTTAGAGGTACACTCAGGTACACTGAAAGATAAAAGTTTATATTTTTAAGCTTCATTTATACTCGTAAATACAATATTAGTCATTGTATTGCTTCTGTTCCTTGTTACGGAACAAGGGAGTAAGGGGCCAAGTATTAGTATTGCTATCATTATTACTATAGGTAAGCTTTAAGTCCAGCCGCTTTCAATAAAAACAATGAGAAAATGCACTAAGGCTGTGAGGTGGGAGCAAACCTACGACCAAGGCATTGGGGGCTGCAGACTCTACCACTGTAACTTGTAAACGTCACACGTTGGTCTAGTGGTAGAGTATGTGATATATATATATATATATATATATTTGTTTACCTGTAGGTGGTCATGTAAAGTTTGTGTACTCTTAAATGGTCATAAATCTTCTTGTAATTAAAAGGTGTTGTGACGCGGTGATCCAGGCTGTATTGCTGAACTCTAAGATCACGGTGTGTGTGTGTGCAGGAGATTGGTGACCCCCCCCCACCCCCCACACTATTGGTGACCCCCCCCCACAATATTGGTGACTCCCCCCCCCCCCTCATGTACTCTAGGTAGGAGCGAAGAAGCGCCTTGAACCTTACCTGCAGATGCGGCTCCTGAAGAACGCAAGGTTGCCCTTAAGGTCAGATATTAGGTGGTGGTAGGCCGGGCACTCACTCAGCAGCGTGCAGGTGCCTGCCGGGGATGGCACTCAATGTATCTCTTACTTATGTATCTGGTTATATTATATTATATATATATATATATATATATATATATATATATATATATATATATATATATATATATATATATATATATATATATATATATATAGCTTCCATTTTGTTTATTTTAAATATTTTTATTATATTATATTAAGAACATAAATTATTGATATAGTTATGTTAGATTAGGTTAGGTTAACATAGGTTAGGTAGGGTAGGTTGGGTTCGGTTATATATCTCCGTTAGTTGTAACTCTAATTTTTTAAAAATTAACTCACACATAATGAAATGAATAGCTTTATCATTTCATAAGAATTTTTTTTTTTTAAATATTGAACTTCAGGAAAACTTGGCTTATTAGGCAAATCGGACCTTGCATAGTAGGCCAAGAACTGCGTTCTGGCTACTAGGTACAACACACACACATTTATATATATATATATATATATATATATCTGTGTGCGAGTGCACACAGAAACTGTATTGGAGGGGACCTACATTCCCTCCAATGCGTTATGTGTGGTTTCCTCCGAGGCTATGGGTCCCCTTTCTTCCAGCCAGAGGTGGTACTCCCTTCCCTTTTGAAATATATATATATATATATAATTATATATATATATATATATATATATATATATATATATATATATATATTTCAAAAGGGAAGGGAGTACCACCTCTGGCTGGAAGAAAGGGGACCCATAGCCTCGGAGGAAACCACACATAACGCATTGGAGGGAATGTAGGTCCCCTCCAATACAGTTTCTGTGTGCACTCGCACACAGATATATATATATATATATATATATATATATATATATATATATATATATATATATATATATATATATATATATATATATATATATATATATATATATATATATATATTATATAATTCACTTATCTCTTGGAGGCTCGAACCGTTGAACCCCAGGTTGTGAGGCAGAGGCGCTTCCACTGAGCTATCAGGAGGCCCAATCGGAAACATCTCAGAGGCGGCATTTCATTCATTTAGGCTCTAGGAGAGACTTTCTATTGAGCCTCCCAGCTCAGTGGAAGAGTTTCCGCCTCACACCCTGGGGTCGGTGGCGGGATGCTCTCGAACGTAGGTTCGAATCCTCGTCACGGCCCTTGTGGATTTGTTCATTCGATGCATTTGATGTGATTTCTGTGTGTAATGTAGTCTCCTAGATCCCAAGTGTTCTATTGGTAGCTCAGTTTCCCTGGTACCTTGCTCTATTAGGAGTGAGTGTGTGAGTGTGTGTGTGTACTCACCTATTTGTGCTTGCGGGGGTTGAGCTTTGGCTCTTGGGTCCCGCCTCTCAACTGTCAATCAACTGGTGTACAGATTCCTCAGCCTACTGAGCTCTATCATATCTACATTTGAAACTGTGTATGGAGTCAGCCTCCACCACATCACTGCCTAATGCATTCCATCCGTTAACTACTCTGACACTGAAAAAGTTCCTTCTAACGTTCCTGTGGCTCATGTGGGTACTCAGTTTCCACCTGTGTCCCCTTGTTCGCGTCCCACCAGTGTTGAATAGTTTATCCTTGTTTACCCGGTCGATTCCCCGGAGGATTTTGAAGGTAGTGATCATGTCTCCCCCTACTCTTCGGTCCTCCAGGGTAGTAAGGTGCATTTCCCGCACCCTTTCCTCGTAACTCATGCCTCTTAGTTCTGGGACCAGTCTAGTGGCATACCTTTGGACTTTTTCCAGCTTCGTCTTGTGCTTGACAAGGTACGGGCTCCATGCTGGGGCCGCATGCTCCAGCGTTGATCTTACATATGTGGTGAACAAGATTCTGAATGATTCCTTACACAGGTTCCTGAAGGCTGTTCTGATGTTAGCCAGCCTCGCACATGCCGCAGACGTTATTCTCTTTATGTGGGCTTCAGGGGACAGGTTTGGCGTGATATCAACTCCTAGATCTTTCTCTCTGTCCGTTTCATTAAGTACTTCATCTCCTATTCTGTATCCTGTGTCTGGCCTCCTGTTTCCACTGCCTAGTTTCATTACTTTGCATTTACTCGGGTTGAACTTCAACAGCCATTTGTTGGACCATTCACTCAAGTCTGTCTAGGTCATCTTGTAGCCTCCTACTATCATCTTCTGTTTCAATCCTCCTCATGATTTTTGCATCATCGGTAAACATTGAGAGAAACGATTCTATACCCTCTGGGAGATCACTTACATATATCAGAAACAGTATAGGTCCAAGGACTGACCCCTGCGGGGCTCCACTTGTAACGTCTCGCCAATCTGAGACCTCACCTCTCACACTGACTCGTTGTCTCCTGTTGCTTAGGTACTCCTTGGAGTACCTAAGCAACAGGAGTACAGGAATCCAATGGAGTACCTTCCCTGTGCAGGCGATGAGTCACAATAACGTGGCTGAAGTATGTTGACCAGACCACACACTAGAAGTTGAAGGGACGACGACGTTTCGGTCCGTCCTGGACCATTCTCAAGTCGATTGTGATGAGGAGGTAGGGACAGGCAATAAATAGGCAAGAGAGAGCTGAGGAGGAAAGTAAGGTGTAGGGGATAGTAGTAATAATGAGAACTGCAGAAGGCCTATTGGCCCATACGAGGCAGCTCCCATTATAACCCCCGAAGGAGATAGTAATAGGAATAAGAAGAGGATAACAAGGGAGCGTAGGAGAAGACAATGAACAGAAAAAGGGAGAAAAGAGAAAGAAAAGGAAAGAGAAAGAAAGATAAATGGAAGGGGTAAGCTTATGTTAAGTCACGTTTGTTAGAAAGATTAGAGCATTTGAGTATATATTGTGAAAGGGAAGAGTCCACAGCAACAAAGCCAGGACTCAAGTTCATGTTGGGTACATTGTGTATAAGAGCCGATTCTACAAGACGGCGTCTGTGTAGAGTAGAGGCAGGAAAGATTATTTTGGAGGAAGACCAATCAATGGGATGATTAGAATCCCTCACATGGCAGAAGAGAGCATTGTTAGTGTCTGCAGACTTAACACTTCTCTTGTGTTCTTTAAGTCTGTCATTCAGTGTACGGCCAGTTTCGCCAAAGTATTGGAGAGGACAAGACGAACAGGAAATAGAGTAGACACCAGCAGCATTAGAAGCAGGAGGAGCAGTGTGAACTAGAATGCTACGAAGTGTGTTAGTTTGTCGAAAGGCGAGTTTAATGTCAAGAGGACGAAAGGTATTGGTAAAAGTTTTGAGTTCAGATATGAAGGGAAGGCATAGTACAGTGTTATTAGTGTTGGAAGCAGGTTTAGGATGAAAGAAATTTCGTTTAGCTTGAGAGTAGGCACAGTTGATGAAATGCAAAGGATAACCAAGGCGAGAGAATGATTTGTAGATAAAGGCAATTTCAGAATCAAGAAACTGTGGGTCGCTGATGCGTAGAGCGCGGAGGAAGAGAGAGACGAGGACACTTTTCTTAACAGAAGGAGGATGGTAGGAAAAGAAGTGAATGTACATGCCACTATGCATGGGTTTACGGTAGACAGAGAAAGAGAACCCAGACACAGAGCTGTGAACATGAACATCAAGAAAAGGAAGGAGGGAATTAGATTCCCACTCAACTTTGAAATGGATAGAAGGAGCCAGATTGTTAAGAGAGGCGAGGAAAGACTGGAAAAGATTAAGGTCATGAGGCCATAAAGCAAAAATGTCATCAACATAGCGAAGCCAGAGAGAGGGACGAGTATCAATAGAAGGAAGAAGAACAGTTTCGAAGTATTCCATGTAGAAATTAGCAAGAACAGGGGAGAGAGGGGAACCCATAGCGACACCGAAAGTTTGAGTGTAATATTTACCGTTGAAAGAGAAAGAGTTAGATTCAACACAGAGTCTAATGAGATCGAGGAAAACGTCAGTGGGAAGTGGGAGAGGAAGGAGGCCCTCTGACGCCTTCTGTCTAAGGAAAGAGAGAACGTCATCGAGTACCTTCCCTTTCATCGAGTACATCGAGTACCTTCCCTTTCACTCCAGCCTGCATCTCCAGCTTTTTCACTAGCCTCTTGTGTGGTACTGTATCAAAGGCTTTCCTGACAATCCAAAAATATGCAGTCTGCCCACCCTTCTCTTTCTTGCCTTATTTTTGTTGCCTGGTCGTAGAATTCAAGTAACCCTGAGGCAGGACCTGCCATCCCTGAATCCATGTTGATGCTGTGTTACAAAGTTCTTTCGCTCCAGATGCTCCACTAGCTTTCTTCGCACAATCTTCTCCATCAGCTTGCATGGTATGCAGATTAGGGACACTGGCCTGTAGTTCAGTGTCTTCTGTCTATCCCCTTGTATATCGGGACTACGTTAGCTGCTTTCCAAATATCTGGCAGTTCCCCTGTTGCCAGTGATTTGTTATACACTATGGAGAGTGGTAGGCACAGTTCTTCTGCTCCTTCCTTTAGTATCCAAGGGGAGATTCCATCTGGGCCTATAGCCTTTGTCACATCCAACTCTATCCGGCTGTGTGTGTGTGTGTGTGTACTCACCTAGTTGTGTCTGCAGGATCGAGCATTGACTCTTGGATCCCGCCTTTCGAGCATCGGTTGTTTACAGCAATGACTCCTGTCTCATTTCCCTATCATACCTGGTTTTAAAATTATGAATAGTATTTGCTTCCACAACCTGTTCCTGAAGTGCATTCCATTTCCCCACTACTCTCACGCTAAAAGAAAACTTTCTAACATCTCTGTGACTCATCTGAGTTTCAAGCTTCCATCCATGTCCCCTCGTTCTGTTACTATTCCGTGTGAACATTTCGTCTATGTCCACTCAATCCCTCTGAGTATTTTATACGTTCCTATCATGTCCCCCCTCTCCCTTCTTCTTTCTAGTGTCGTAAGGCACAGTTCCCTCAGGCGCTCCTCATACCCCATCCCTCGTAGCTCTGGGACGAGTCTCGTTGCAAACCTCTGAACCTTTTCCAGTTTCATTATATGCTTCTTCAGATGGGGACTCCATGATGAGGCGGCATACTCTAAGACTGGCCTCACGTAGGCAGTGTAAAGCGTCCTAAATGCCTCCTTACTTAGGTTTCTGAATGATGTTCTAACTTTTGCCAGTGTAGAGTACGCTGCTGTCGTTATCCTATTTATATGTGCCTCAGGAGATAGATTAGGTGTTACGTCCACACCCAGGTCTCTTTCGCGCGTCGTCACAGGTAGGCTGTTCCCCTTCATTGTGTACTGTCCCTTTGGTCTCCTATCTCCTAGTCCCATTTCCATAACTTTACATTTGCTCGTGTTGAATTCCAGTAGCCATTTCTCTGACCATCTCTGCAACCTGTTCAGGTCCTCTTGGAGGATCCTGCAATCCTCATCTGTCAACTCCTCTCATCAACTTTGCGTCATCCGCAAACATCGACATGTAGGACTCTACGCCTGTAGATGTGTGTGTGTTTCATCAACTTTGCGTCATCCGCAAACATCGACATGTAGGACTCTACGCCTGTGTATATGTGTGTGTGTGTGTGTGTGTGTGTGTGTGTGTGTGTGTGTGTGTGTGTGTGTGTGTGTGTGTGTGTGTGTGTGCCTATATACCAGACAATATCCTATTGACCTAGGCTTGAGGAAATACCGTTGTGTTTAAATAGAGGGCGAAAAGAGTATTAACTTCAACATATCGTATTAATGTTAACTACAAAGAATTAACTAGAGACAGGTTTAAGGCATTAACCCCGAGGGTTCTGTAGACTATATAATTAAGTTCACTGTGAGTCAAAGATTGCTGGCTCAGATGCTATTGTGAAAGGTTTAAAACTCACAATAATAATTAGATGAGCTTAGAACCTCAAAGTTCTCAGCTTATCTAATTAACTAAGAGGCTTCCTTGATCAACATTAGATTCCATGAGAAGTCTGAGCATAAAATTTTAAAATGATCACTATACAATTTTGATTAACGCAAGCGGCGCCCAATTTGAATGGGCGATAAGCTACACCGTTGACTCAAATAACAATAAACAAAACCAATTTATCACTCATTTGATAATGGGGGCTCAGTATCCTAAACCCATTATATGCCTCTGAAACTTTTCCTCTCCCGCCCACAGGATGGGGTACGGGGGTGCATAATAAACAAACTCAGCCATCACCAGCTAAAATTATCATAGTCAAGGTCTGTATGAGGAATAAACTAAGCGTACCTGCTGCACCGGTGTCGCCGAGAGAGCATTCATTACCCGTGTTGCCCGTACGGGTGGAGAGGACGAGGGAATGCCTCAACCCGCCGCCCAGTAACGTCAACAGCTGCCTCTCTGCAGGAATGGCTGCTGGCGCAATATTCCCTGCAAGCACACTCAACGGTATAACAGCCACACTCGACAGTATATTGCAAGCACACTCAACGGTATATAGCAAACACACTCAACGGTATAACAGCCACACTCGACAGTATATTGCAAGCACACTCAACGGTATATAGTAAACACACTCAACGGTATAACAGCCACACTCGACAGTATATTGCAAGCACACTCAACGGTATATAGTAAACACACTCAACGGTATAACAGCCACACTCGACAGTATATAGCAAGCATACTCGACGGTATATAACAAACACATTCAACAATATATAACAAACACACTCATCAGTTTGTAATATATCTTTTAATATTAGATTAACATTTTAAAAGCCCTTGTCTGGTGCAAAAAAAAAAAACTAATAATATATATGAATTCACCATGAAAAGACCATTGAAATCACATATTATTCCATTTACAACAATATCTAGAAATGATTTTGCAAGTAATTATAATTAACATCTGACGTACTTCTTGCTGATGTGTGTAAGGAGAGCAAGAGCAGCAGCAGCAGCACGCCCGAGCCTCGAACCCTGATCATCGTGCCTGGAGAGAGAGTAAACATTACATGTAACTTTGTGTACCTGTGGAGGATGCACCACACATACCCACTGTATCAGGTCATAACATGATCATGTCGCACCACCCAACGTAGGGAGGTGGGTAGGAATGGTGCCCAACCACTTGGACGGTCGGGGATTGAACGCCGGCCTGCATGAAGCGAGACCCTCCACCCCCAAGTGCTTGGGCTGGACGGTACCAATCGTAGGGAGACCTCTGGTAGCCTGGGTTTGAATCCTCTGAAGGGTCAAAGCGTTACAGTGACGTCTTGGTCTTGATCAACTCTTGACCCTCCTGCAGGATTCGAACCCTGTCAGCCATGCATGGCTTCCAAGGCCCTCGGTGTGTCCAGTACTATAACCACTCGGCCAAACTGACTGTACTAAAGTATTGGAAGTCGACTGACCCTTAACCCAACACCCGACAGCTCTCGTGACCATTTTGGGAACAGATATTTCATCAAATCAGTTCTTCATGCTGGGTCCGTATGAGTAGCTTTTGTGTCTAGCTTGAACCGGAAGTATTGTTAATTATTCCTTGAAGTACGTGTCATGAATCACAGAGGTTCGGTTAATTAATCACTGAAGTACGTGTCATGAATCACAGAGGTTCGGTTAATTAATCACTGAAGTACGTGTCATGAATCACAGAGGTTCGGTTAATTAATCATTGAAGTACGTGTCATGAATCACAGAGGTTCGGTTAATTAATTAATGTCAATGAAGTATGTGTCATGAATCACAGAGGTTCGGTTAATTAATCATTGAAGTACGTGTCATGAATCACAGAGGTTCGGTTAATTAATCATTGAAGTACGTGTCATGAATCACAGAGGTTCGGTTAATTAATTAATCAATGAAGTACGTGTCATGAATCACAGAGGTTCGGTTAATTAATTAATCACTGAAGTACGTGTCATGAATCACAGAGGTTCGGTTAATTAATTAATCAATGAAGTACGTGTCATGAATCACAGAGGTTCGGTTAATTAATCACTGAAATACGTTGAAATACGTGTCATAAATCACAGAGGTTCGGTTAATTAATCACAAAAGAGTATGTGTCATCAATCACTGAAATCCCTGCCACGAATAAGACATATTCATTAATTTTACACGAAATGATTAAAACTTCACAAACACTTATTCTTTTCCGAGTATCATTTAAGCTTCAGATCATTTTTTTTCTTCACTTTATTCTATAATTATTTATTTAATACGAATACTTGTGAGCAGTTGCAGAGGCGCCATCACTCTAATCCCAGTCACGTGATGAGGTGTGTTGAATACCTGCTTCAGTCATCACTACGGCGTGCTCTCTCTAGTGTTCTGTGTTCTAGTGTTCTCTCTCTCGTTCTGTATATGTTTTCTGTATATGTTCCATCCGGAAGTAGCGGTCAGGGGATGGGTGGGTGTCGCCCAGTGAGGCATTGTCCGCGATTCTTCCTGTCATTGTTTTCACTGAGGACACCAGTTTCACTGAACTCTCTGTGGTCACTCGTGGATTCACTCTGAATTGGCTTTTCGTTGCACACACATGAAACGCTAAAACACGGCCTATATAGCGAGTTCATTTACTCGTAGCGAACTTGGAGCGTTTCACTCTTTTGTAAACTCCGTCTAGCGAGTCATTTAACTCGTAGTATACTACGAGCAGGTACAGTAGGGTTCCCTCTTAGCGAACTATCGCACTAGTAACACTTAAATCACTTTAATGTTCGTTCTTAGTTAGCGAACTATCTCACTAGTAACACTTGAAATACGCTCAAGCTGGGACACTGAAGTGCTCGCTACACAAGCTGAAGTGGCACTCAGTGTACTTAACAACCACCTACCTGCAGGTGTTACTGGCGACTGGAGGAGGTTAACGGGTTAACGGTACACCCACCTACCTGCAGGTGTTACTGGCGAATGGGGGAGGTTAACGGTACACCCACCTACCTGCAGGTGTTACTGGCGACTGGGGGAGGTTAACGGTACACCCACCTACCTGCAGGTGTTACTGGCGACTGGGGGAGGTTAACGGTACACCCACCTACCTGCAGGTGTTACTGGCGACTGGGGGAGGTTAACGGTACACCCACCTACCTGCAGGTGTTACTGGCGACTGGGGGAGGTTAACGGTACACCCACCTACCTGCAGGTGTTAGCAACGACTGGGGAGGTTAACGGTACACCCACCTACCTGCAGGTGTTAGCAACGACTGGGGAGGTTAACGGTACACCCACCTACCTGCAGGTGTTAGCAACGACTGGGGAGGTTAACGGTACACCCACCTACCTGCAGGTGTTAGTGGCGACTGGGCGACTACCAGTACACCCACCCGCCGAGCACCAAGCTGCCACAGCTCACCACACAGAAAAGTTAAGACTCAAGTAAGTTAAGACTTACACAGATAAGTATGTATAACGTAACCTTCCATACATAATGTATTCGTAATCAAGATGCTTGAGTCATAGTTTGTAAAGTGACATTGGACTATTAATGTGAATACTGAATACAATTTAGGGAATAAAGGGTAGGAAGGGGGGTAGGAAGGGGGGAGTAGGGGACTGCTTATGGGGGGGAGGGGGGGAGTAGGGGACTGCTTATGGGGGGGAGGGAATCCCAGTCAAGAATCAAAACTAGGAAATATTTACTTAGGCTGTCAGAGGTCCCAGTGATGGTATTCGCATTATGTTCTCGTTCATTTCAGCAGGATTTATCAAAGGATAGAGGTGAGTCAGCGTGGCTATGATGTATGTACTCGTGGTTATATAGACGAGGTGAGTATATAGCACCTCAGCTCGACATACTTATAGCAGTCATAGTGGCGCAGTGGTAAATCATTCGTCCAACGCTTTGGCCTGGGTTCATATCCTGGCCGGGGAGGATTGACTGGGTGCCAATATTTAAATGTAGCCTCTGTTCACCCAGCAGTGAATGGGTACCTGGTTGTTAAACCATTTGGCGGGTCGTATACCGGGGGGAAATTAGGATTAAGGACTTGCCCGAAATGCTGTGCGTGCTGTACAAGAATAGTGGCTTTACAAGAATGTAAGAATTCTTGCGTTGTGTGTGTGTATCCGTGTATATTTCAGCCTGTAGCAATGTGTATGGCAGATGATCACGTCTTCTGGTAAACTCTTAACTAACTCTTCTTAATCATCATGCTTCTTTCTCTATCATTCATCATCACCAACATTCTTCTTTTTATCTGGTATATCTTGTATTGCTCTGCTTCTGCCCATGTTTACAAACACCATCTGCCTTCCAGCTCTTTAAATACAGCTCGGGTGCGTTACAGCCTAATCTCTTTAATATTTATTTATCTATATGTATACAAGGAAGTACAAAAGTTGTGATTGTATATTTTGGTGCTAAAATGATACAATGTTTCAAAGCAACTAACACATTTAGGCTCTGTTGTGTATTTAGTGAAATTGTGTACACACAAATTCCATTCTCCAATTACATATATATATATATATATATATATATATATATATATATATATATATATATATATATATATATATATATATATATATATATATATATATATATATATATATATATATATATAGGATACAAAATACAAAACATCACTTTTGTATTTGTGAGTTTTATGTAAAGATTTACAGCAAGTCTTTCGCACTCTCCTGAGTGCTTTGTCAAGGTCTGAGTGTGTGGTAAGGATAAGATTTGCGTCTTAACGACTGACTAATACCACACACTCAGACACGAGAGGGGTCGACCATGACCTAATGTGAAGTTGGCCATCTCCCTACATTCTTCACCTCTTTCTTAGCGCTTCTAAGATTCTGTAGGCTTCTGTAGTATCCTTGGAGTATTTCGCATAATATTTACAAGTATGTTTTAAGTGTCAATTAAGATTGTATCAGACTGTCAAATGGGGGTAGGATTGAATATAGATTTATTATTATTGAATTAGGATGTAATCAGTAATTTATTAATCTTTACATGTGTACATTTCTGCACTTTTCACGGCATTTAAAGTAGCGATTTGGTTTAGTGTATATTTGGTGTATAATAATAATTACCATGGCACTGGCTATTCATAAGAGCAGGCAGGAGGGTTACTCAGTAGACAAAATATTGAAATTCTTGCGAAGCAAGAATTAGTAGACAAAATATTCTGAAATTCTCACTAAATTCTTACTGAGAATTATATAAACTATATATAATGTAGTATTTTGCCTTGTAAATTGATGTAAATATGATCTTTATATATAGTATATTATTTAATAAATAAAAAAATCATGCTACTAATCTTCACCTGCTCATGCAGCTGCTTTTGTTGATGGCATCGCTGACCTGTAGCCTCGCCTCCACCACCTCATTCAATTGCTTTGGTTGATAGCATGAACCCAGAGGGTCATGCCGGATGATCATTCATACCGGTTCAGTGATTATTCCCGCGACACCATATCCCATCAACTGGAGCACGATGGCGTCATGCAATAGCCTCGCGCGCCAGAATAAATGTCTGTATCCCGCATTTCAAGCCTAGACTCGCGCCATCACTGGCTCCCTCCTGTATATTTTCGACAATTATAAGTGTAAACAAAACATGCATAATAATGAAACATAGGCACGCTAGGGTGTGGTCTGTGCTACCACAGATGAATAATAAATATCCATTTCCCGTTGTCGAGGGACAGAAAGCCTGTGTATATGAATGTATATTTTAGGCTTGTACCATGGTCCCCTAAGAGTCACTTACCCTCCGCAGAATGCAACGCCCGCAACAGCTGGCAAACTCCCGGATACCTGTTTACTGCTGGCTAAACTGCAATGAGTGAAAGGAAACGTGGCTAATAAGATGTTTCGGCCAATGCGGTATAAAAACGTTGTTCATAGAGGATATCCTTCACGTCGAATGTACGATCCAGATTATCTATTGTTATCCAGGATATCGGAACCGCTTTAGAGGGCATATCCTTAACACTGAATGTAGGAATCAGATTGTCAATTGTTATCCAGGACATATATGAACCGGCTCAGAAATGGGAAAGCCAAATTGCGCACCAAAGGCTATTCTCAGTTTGCCCTTGAGAACCAGCTGGAGCGACCAGACAACAGAACCTTGACGACAAGCGCCCAAAACTTTGATAAAAAATATCGTAACTTGTTACTATAAACACTAAATGCGTAATATATGACAAGCGCGCGTCACAGTGTGACATACCCTTTATAAAGTCTAGTTCACGCTTCCTGTTGTGTGGCCAAACAGGCGTCCAGTTCACGCTTCGTGTTGTGCGAGTTGTTTTACCCTATCCCCTCACCTGTCCTCTTCTCTCCTCTCCTCCATCTCACCTGTCTCGCACCCTCACTATCTTCCTCCTCTCCTTCTACATCCCACCATCTCTTCATTCCTCCCCCATTTCTCCTCTCCCCCTAACATTCCCCCATTCCACATTTCTTCCCCCTCTCCTCCAACATTCTCCATCTCACTCCTCTTTAATTTAATTTTTAATTTTGCCCCGAGGGGCGAGTTTATTGGGCAGCGCCACTCATCTTGTGAGTGATGACCTCTTTAATGTCTCCGCCCTTTCTCCCTATCCGGCCGCCCCCCCCTCCACTCCCCTCTCCTTCCTTTCTCACCTCTTCCCCTATTTGTTTCTCTCCTTTGATCCCTCTCCATTAATCTCCACATTTCTCACCTCTCCCCCCCCCCCTCTTCGCCAACACTCCCATCCCATTTCTCTGTCTCTCTCGCGGTCTCTCAGAAAATTTTATATTACGAACAGTATGCTGGATAACTCTATGAAAAAGAAAACACAACTCTTGATGTCATGAAAAAAATAGGAGCCGATTTTTAGTAAAAGGGTGGACACTGGCATTAACCCCGACTAGCCTATGACACTCTCTAACCATCCATTTGTTATCTTGAAAAGTTGTGTTAAGGCCAAGCGTCTCTCCAACCGTGGAGAGATAAACAAACTGACATTCTTATTTATAGATAAAAATATATGCACATACTACGCAAAATGGGTTGGTGGATTGTTAGGTTCCGGCGTTTATGATTTCGTAAAATATATTATATATATATATATATATATATATATATATATATATATATATATATATATATATATATATATATATATATATATATATATATATATATATATTAGTATATTTTGGTAGCAGTCTTTCTTGTAAACATATATTATTAAATATGACTGAAAAAGTAAGATTAATAATTCTAACACGAATTTTCTCAATATTTCTTATGTTTCTTTTCACTGTTGATGGTAATTGAAAAATCAATTCTCCAAAATTCATTTTTTATTTCTAGTCTGACGCGACACTTGAAGGCGTTTCGTAATAACTTATTACATTTTCAAAGACTTTAGTTTTACACACACACAACTATAACCTGCAAACACTAAACAGAGTCCTACTATGCTATAATTTAAATGACTTTCATTTTATAAACCTGCATTTGGGTGAGGTGATATGTCACAACAGTTTTGGATGAGGTGAAAACACAAGATAGAACACGAAACAATGGGTATAATATTGGATAAGTTTAAAGGGAAGAATGGAAGTAACTGCAAAGGGCCTATTGGCCAATATTTCTTCATGCTTCATTAAGCAAGTTGATTCATTATCATCGGTATAGCATCTCTAGTGTGAAAAGTTCTTGTTATCCAACCTGTCATTTTTCTTGCAGTTGCCTGCCTGCCTATCCACACACCAAAATGTAATCAGAAAGTAGTATAATTACTACAGGCAACACGTTATAGTGATGGTGGCAACAAAAGCAAGTTGACTAAGGCAGTTGAAGCGAGGCTAGCTGCCAGTGCTAGTGAACAACTGCGGGATTTCCCCAGCAGTGATTATGAGCAGGAAATCATCCCCCGGTTCTCCCACGTACACAAGCCTGGGAGCGGATCAACCTTATGGTCGGGGGGTCTTAAGACGGCAAATGTATAATTTTAATAATAAGGAACTTTTTCTTCTAGTTATCATAGCAATATGACGTCAGAATCTGATTTTCGTTGGCTTTAGCGTGGGAAATACTCACCTATTTGTGCCTGTAACCCGTGTCGGTTTATTCAGTAAAACATTTATTCGAGTAAAGGGGATATGAGCTCCTACGAACCGGGGTTCAGAGACACGCGATATCCACTGAACCGGTGGGAGTTAGTGGCACAGCTGATTTTCTAAATCCTCGTAACTCATACCTCTTAGTTC